GTGGCTCCATCTAGCTGCCAAAAACAAACGCATGTATATATATATATGTAGATTGAGTTATATGTATGTGTTCTATTCAAAGACAAACTTCAATCAGAGTCTAAGAACATGATCAGGAAATGAGTTCTATCAATTGTGGACCTCGTCAAGTACAGGACGCACGTTCCTAGGGGCAAGTTTCCTGCAATGAAACACGACCACATTGACATTGACTGACATGATACTCAGCATTATCTGGAGTAATGAAGCTTTTCTCGGCTGTTCTTGACCAACGAATTAAAGTCTATAGGTGGCCCCTGCCGTATCCACCCTTTTATAGTTCCTAACATGGTGAGAATGACGAGAACTGATGGTGGGTTGCTATGTTTTGAACATCAAAACTCAAGCCAAAAAGCTGCCGCCAGATTCAAGAGTCCAGTGTGACCCGTTCCCAGCAACCAGCCCTAAGTCCAGCAGCCACTAAGTCCCTTTCCCTCCGCGCTTTTCGTGAGTTGGGAGCCTGAATCCTGGGAGGCATGATGAGGCGTGTCTTTTTCCCTATACTTCAATATACTTCCTCTTCACCCTCAGTGGAGGGCATCCCACGCCAAGCATGGGGGACCTGTTGGTCCTATTATGTACAGCTTGGGATAGATTGGGTACATTCCCTGGGCTCAGTGAATGATCGTTCAATTGTAGGCCAACATCTCCAACTGATGTTCTGCCCGGCTCTACAGGCATTCTAGGACACCCCCAAGGTATATATATATATATATACCCTAGGGCTCCTGGCCTACCTCCGTTTCGAAGTTGGTGATGGTGGGTGTCAGGGGGGGTCAGTCCCCACCGAACCTGAGGATATGGGCGTTCGAAGCGCCAGGGATATATAGAGGGCCTGTATTGGACCCATCCCTGTCCAAGCCTCCCTGCAGACCATCGAGACCTCGAGGTCTCCAGACCGGGGCTCCACACCGTAGGCCTCACTGGCGCGGCAATGGGCGGACCACCTGGCGCCGTCGCGACGCCGCGACGTCAAGCGACGGGCCGTGTGTGTGAGCTGTTCTCGAGGCCGATGGGTTGTTTGAAGGTGTTCGAAGGCGTAGAAGCCAAACGGTTCTCCCTACGTTTGTTTAATTTGTTGCGAACAGGTCAATCTTTATCAGACTTTGAAGATCTTTGGAGAAACTTTGGGAGGACTTTAGAGACTTTGGAGGACGGATGTCTGCGTCTTTAGCTGAAATGTTCCACTTTTAATAAGTCGGACCTCTGCGGCACTGCGCTGCTGAGGGAGACATCCCTTGATGGACCTTGAGAGGACTGAAATCAATCACTTCTTCATTCTCAGGACCTACTCCATATTGGGGCCCGTTCCCACACACTCAACAAAAGGCGCGCATGGATCCATCTATGTGGGAATACCGAATACCGAGACTTTTAGCTGGTAATTTTTGAGTATCCCAAGGCGAAACATAAGGACTTCTTTTTCGTTGAATCCAAAGATATCCAAAGCAGTCCATCTGCTAGGACAAACAATGCTACAAGGGATTCCTGCAAGAAATCTGTGCAAGAGTGCAAAGAGTGTCTGTGGCAATGGCTCAAAAAGGAACCTAGAGACCCGCAGGTTCTCCCGCGTAGTTGTGTGGAGGGCTCGATGGCGCAGTACCAGGGCCTGGCTTGGAGCGCCGCATTTGAGTATTTTCCGGCCAAAGTGCGGGTAGGACCACATGAAAAGTCCCGGAACCCAACAAGTGCAGAACTGAGCGATATCTGATTTTGAGAGGACAGAATACATCTGCTTCATTCATTTACACCCCCTGAAAACTAACATGAACCCCGGTCGAATGGGACCTGGAAAAATGGTTTTCCTCTACCAAGTCAAGTGGTTTTTAGGGTCCATGTGAGTTTTCCACGGGGCGACCGTGACTGTATGCAGCGAACGCGAACGGAACTCTCTTCGTGGATCCACCCAGTCACAGTTGACCCTCTGCGTCTACTTCTCGGAGGGATACACAACTGCCTGGTACCCTCCGGAAACCAACAAAAAGGAACACATCCTCCTGGACCGCAACCATCATCCTCCTGGACCCTCCTGGACGGATCCCATGATGATCCGAGATGCCCCAGTTCAGTGCCCCAGTTCCATCCCGTCTGGACCGCTGACGCGGCGGCACCTCCCGCTTTACAGCCGCGGAACTGGGAAGCACCGGACGGCCGGGGGTCGGAGGAGGGAGACTGGAGAACAGGTGGAGGTCAATGGAAGGTCACGGACATGCACGGTGTAGCGCTTTTTGGAAAACGTCTAGTCTGTATCATGTAAACGTATCATGCATTAACATATAGTCGAGTCTAGTCTGCAATGTCTATTCTTGTTCATGCATTAAATGTTGGATTATGTTGCATTCCTTCACTCAATATACACCACGCCGACCGCTCGCGTTCGGATGTTCGAACACTGGGCAAAGGACGCGTTTCGGAATTTTGCTGGACTCGTGACCAGCGTTTTGTATGAGAGGTATGCTTCAAAGATTGGAAGAGTTCAATAAAAGCTGGTTGGCAAGGGATGGAGGATCCATGTTGGTTAGTTATGTTCATCAATGTTGACCTTTCTATCATCCTGAGACCCCGGAAATGTCCTTCCCAGACGCTCGTACCCTCATATGGAGGGGCCCGGACCCTCAAATCTCTATGGTTTTGAGGGACCAAGGGCTGTTTGGAGCGTCTGGGATTGAAGATTAGAATCCTCAAGTATACTATAGATCGAGTCTGGGACAATCCAGCAGAGAGATTGTAAATACACGTCCCTGAAATAACTGACTGGTGCGTCTCGCAGGGAATGAGGGTGGCTGGATCCAATACAATCTCTATTGGGGGATCATTCCCTTGTTCCCTACTAAGCACCAGTCAGATAATCATGGAAGTGGAGTGAAAGACCCACCTCTTTGGTGATCCGTTTGGTCTGTCAACATGGGCATCCGAGTCTTTGCGGCAGGCTGGCAGGCCATCCACGGGCTTTGCAAACATTTGCAAACAAAGACCGCAACACTCCCACATTTGATCACAGCACACCGTATCACTTCCACATGTGAGGGATTGGTTGGGCCGTGTCTTGGAAAACATACCTCCCCACACCTCCTCCACATGGGATACACAGTGTTTGGACAGTTTTTGTGGTTCTTGGGAAGCTCTGCAGCTTGAGAAGCCCTGCAGCTGTAGGATTGGTTTCTTGGGACTTGGCAACCTCATACCAAGCCAAGGTTTCAATGAATGGCCCCCCCTGTATGGGTGACCACAATACCATACCCAGACTCTCTCTCTCTCTCTCTCTGAGTGTCTCTTGCTCCCAAACAAACCTACACCCTATCTCTCCCCGCGTATTTCTACACCGCAAAATCCGACTTGTAACCTCTTGCCACACCTCCCGGGATTGGCACCATCTTCGACTTCGATGCCCCCCCCTTTCCCACCCAGTCGTCTCCCGCCGAGACCGTCGTCTTCCTCCGACTGGGCGTCCCGTGCCAAGGTCACCAAGCTCTTGGCAGCCTCCGGCGCCCAAGGTGCAAAGTGATCCGCCGTGCAGCTGGCCTTGGAGGAACGCGAGAGGAAGGGCGAGAGGAACGCGAGACGAGGTACGAGGTGAAGAGAGGTGGGGGGAGATTTCAACTCACTACTACTCAGTTGACATGAATCATTCAGCGTATATAAATGGTTGAACGGAAACATGTCTGAAACTACCACTCAGGAGAAGGTCACGTCAGATCAACCGCAAACAATGCCAAAGAGGTTGAACGGCACATGTGGTTGTGCGGTATACAACTTGGTCGAAGTTGAGTTGGATGAAGATGAACATGAGCACGCGCGGACCAAAACTCAATCCTCTCAGCCCTCCTTCCTGGCTTGACAAACAGTTAAGTTCTCTTGAACTGCTCATTAGACCTTGTTTTTGCTCGTCAATTAAGCCCTCAACTGGGCGGCATTCAGCTTCCAGCCCTGAATCCTGGCCACTTGTGTCGTAACATGAAGTATCTACTACATATTTCGGTCACAGCTTCTCAGCTTCTCCCCTTCCCCACCCCCTTCTCACCTCATTCTCCCCAATCCGGGCACCTCCACAGCCACGCCACGGCCACCCAGCACCCGCCCGGGCCACAGCCGCGCCCCCCGGGCCCCGTCGTCCCTGGGTGCGCCGGACCAAGGCGGTGAGCGTCCGCGCCAACGCCGCCAGGGCGGCGCCGCCGTCCAGCGCGGTGGTGCGCTGGTCCTCGGCATCGCCTGAGGTTGGGACCCAAAACGGCAATAAGACATCACTCATCACTGAAATCTCAAGCTTGGTCAGATTTGGCGCACGAGCTTGCCAGTTGGAACACTGTAGATCCGCTGGATTCATAAAATTGCTGAAGCTTGGTCATCATTGGAACACTGTAGATCCGCTGGATTCATGGTTGGGCTTCCACTAAGCAAGTGGTACAACTGGAGGCCCCAAGACAGATTTTTGTGCATCCCCAATGCTAGTCGTCTTTCAAAATGTTCAAACGGCATTCCAATGACATGTTCCTGGTTGGTGTTTTCAACCCAATTGAACAATATTAGTCAGAGGGTTCTGTCATCCCCAAGTAAGGGTTGAAAACATATCCGAAACCATCACCTAGTCATCTATATTCTGTTCCATCATGGTCTATCCAATATCTACTCTCAGATGGCCAGAAACCAACTTGTTTCAACTAGCCTGGCTGGTGTTATTGAAATCTGCGGCCGCATGTTTCGCATAGTTTGGCCCACTGGGCTGCCGCACTGCTCGTGGCGGCCCCAGCAAGAGCGTGTGACACTTTGGTCATCGCCTTGAGTCGTCAAGCATCTCGAAGAGTTTGAACATGGCTCTTCATCCATCCGCGGGTTCAAGAACTTCGTTGATATGTACCCCAAGAAGGACTCAAACGATTCCCATTTCCAAGGTGCTCAGGGGGGTTCGAGGTGTCTACGGAGAATCTGGGAGTTTATATGGAGTGTATATATATATATATAACTATATACAATGATATCGTGGAAGACCAGTGACTTCACATAAACTTGCAACAGAACCAAACTAGGATCTGCCTACGGATGCAGTCCTTGTGTCAACTAGACTGACTAGACTCCCTTCTTCCCTGCCGCGTTGGACTCCTTTTGAGGCATATGTGAAGATCAAAGGTGGTTGGTGTCTTGGGCAACGTGTCTTCCACCTCTCCATGCCTTATGAATCCAACCATCGATCCGGCGGTCAATACAATCACATTGTGTCTTGGAAGACTTAGGGCCATGTATGGACTCTCTGTTCTAAACCATAACATTGACATGACATTCACCCAACTTCAACACAAAGTGTCCTTTTAGAACCCATGTCCCAGAAAAACAAAACATATGCGGTGTCTTCCAAAGGCCCAGTTGAATGAAACACCTGCGTCTCAGACCGTCAATGAGACCTGGTCTCCACCTTGCCACCTTCATGGGTCACGCATTTCGATGGGCCGGTACACCCGTCGTCCAGCCCCGCAAGGACTCAATCCGGAGCTTCGAACAGAAGCTCGGTCCCGATGGTTTGGAAGCAACCAACTGCTGGTCACCAGTGACCCAACACTATTTTCTTTGAAGGCAAACGTGACCTCTCTGGTCGCAGTTACCCAACGCACTTACCGCCCTTATATACCCCCCCTGCGCCTCCCTTCGCCCGACCAATCGCCTGAAAAACTGCTGGAGCCGCGGTGGACAGAACCGAGGCCGCCTGGAGAACAATCGCAGACTCTCAGACTGGCCGGCCAAAAGCAAGACTGAAGTTCTGCTCGAGCTGTCTGGCCGAACCCGAGCTGTCGACCGCCGGGTGGGGCGTTGAAGTGCCGATCTTCAGGTTTGGGCCGTGACATTCCCTCATCATCACGCAGCCCCTGCTGCACTGACTCTCACGCTTCCCCGGTCGTATGCAGGCCATTTGTGCCAAGTTCCATGACAATCAGTTGGTTTGGCAATAGTAGCTTCTTGGACATCCTTCTGGAAATTGACACTCCCCTTTTTTCACCTCCCACCCAACCCCCTGTTGATCACTGCCTTTGAAGTTGAGGCTCACCTCAAAAGGTCGGTTAGATGCTTTTGTCACTTCCTCCTTCGGTCTGTGACCCTCCCTGCGATTCGGACGGACCCCCCCAAAAACCACCCACCTCGGGTTGGTCTTCGGACCATGCTTTGAAACCGGTGAATTCACACGGTCCATGTGGTCTGTGCATGGGCTTGCGGCTTGCATCGCCCACACCATCACCACCATGGCATGTCCATGTTTGTTTTAATGTCTTATACTTATACTGTATCCGTTTTAATCCATGCCAGGTCCCAGAAATTCTGAAGTCCAAGCGCCACCCTTTTCTGCAAAACAACCTCAAAAAGACATCCCGCAATCGTTGATCCTGTCATATCCTGCCCATGTCACCTCACCCCACCGATCAAGGATGGGGTTTCTACAATCCTTCATGGCCACTGCGACAGATCTCCACGCCTCGTCCGTGGTGAGCTCTTGTAGAATGGCGCTGGCTGCAGCCGCGGCCTGAAGTTGAGCTATTTTGCTGTGGGATTCTACGGGTGTTTCTTGGGAAAAAATAGGTTTTTGCATTCCATGGTCCAAAACCAAGCTATTGACTGCTGTTGGGGCCCCTTGTTTTGCCTCAAACGAACCTGTTGTTTCATCCCAGTCACTTGGTGGAACCGATTGGCTACCGGTGGAAGGGTGCTTTTTATGTCGAGCATATCCCAATCGAACATGTGTTTTTCAAAATCCGGCGAAAGCGTGGGGTCCCCAGGCAGCCTTTAGAAGGTCTGAATTCACCACTGATGAGTCTCTCTTAGAAAGAAAATGCATGTTGTACCAGGAGTCACAAGATGTGGCGCTGGTCACTTGGAGGAAGTCGGGGTGCCCCGAATTCCATCCACTCACTGGATGGGACATGATGGATCTAAAAACCCACCCAACTCCATGTGACTCCTGGTAGAGGTCCGCATTTCAGGTGGGTTTGGATGCCCTACCTTCTTGGTGTGGCACATCTTCTTAGCTAGCTTGCCGGTCCCTCAGGGCGCATTGGTATGAGGGCAACCCGTCAACCTGACTTACTTTGAACCATTTGGTTTGGCTTCTGCAAATTGAACAACAACAGCACCTACTCTCTGCAGAACTTTAAGACAAGGATGCCCTCAACATAACTAAGCATCTTTTCCAGCTTCCATGATACATGATGTCTCCGCCATCCTTGATTGACTCGTTGATCCACTTGTGATATCTCTGGTGGTTGTAGAACGAAACCGCCCGACTTGCGCGGGGGCGGTTGGCCCAGACCATCCATGTATGGAATAGATAATATGAATAGATACATACCCCGTTTAAGACCTCAACGTTACCCTCCTTTCAATGTGTTCTTCCTGCGCGTCTGTTCAGAAGGCCTTCTCCAAGAGTTCCAGCTGGGGTTCCCGTGGAAGCAGTTCCACTAAACGACCCAGGATCTGCTCAAAGCCTCCACGCGCAGAGTGACGGTGCCATCGTTCCACTAAGGAACGAGCCAAATGACAACACCACTTAGGTCCCCAAGTCTAAAGGGAACACGACTGACACCGTCTTCAGCCCCCGACGACGGGTCGTGGGACACGTGTCTGGTCTTTTCGTGTCGCATAGTCGTCCACTCCCATGCTCGATGAAATCAGGGGACAATCACGCGGCTAGCCGCGACAACAGATCTCTACGGTGCAGAATGCAAAAGAACCTGAAAGAACCATAAGACTGATTATATATAGACGAAGGATAGACGATAGAATACTATATATATAGAGCATAGTTTTCAACCTGACTGACATAGTTCGCCTTGTCTTGGACTCTAGCAAATTCTCTCTACTTGAGGGTGCCAAAAACCGAAGGTGGAGAACACATCCGCTTGCCGCTTGGCCTCTCTTTGGGAGGCCAACCTGCTACCATCAGTCCGCTGGGCCCAGCAAGTGTATGGTCATCCACCATGAACTTGCAACGATGACTAGAAAAGCTCACACCCTTGAACTCAGACTTCCAACCACACACGCCTGATAGATTTCTGTTAACAAAAACACCAAACCCTCCCCCACGAAAGCAACCCTCTAAATCCCTACCTACCTGTCGTCAGTTCTTCGGTCACGGGGGGGGAGCGCACGTGGGCACTGTCTGACTCCACAAACCCCGCCAACTCACTTGGAACCTGAGAAGAATAGACCATACTATAGACCCCTGGTTTTGACCATTCCCGTACCCACATATTTACCAACCACAATAGTGCTTCGCTGGAGAGGGTGAAAAAGGGCATGGCTTCGGGTCCATGTGCTCACCCCCCATGAACCGAAGGGAGGACTCCTGACCGACCTCCCGACCGACGCCGGTGGAGACGTGACTCCGCAGCGCACTGACCGACTCGGCCTCCAGTGACCGACTGAGAGGATTTCAGCTCTTCGGCCAGCAAGACGGCGCCCTCGCAGGCCGCCTGGAGGCGGTCGTGGGTGGCAGGTCGTGGGGGGAAGCGGCAACAACCGGGGCGGTCGGAAGGATGTCACTGGAAGGAAGCGGCCACAACCGGGGTCAGGATGTCGTGCAAATGCTCGACTCCAGGGATTTGGTTGTGGAATGCTCCATGGACTCTGAATGGTTTGTGGAACTGTCTCTTGACTGTTCATGTGTCGTTGATTGAAATTGGATCTCTCTGCAGACCCTCTTGGACTCCAAAGATCCAGATCCAGAACTCTCGCTCGCCTGGCGGACCCAAACGGCAGAGTCCCTCAAGGCATTGGCCTCAGTCTCGTGGCCGGGCCGGAGTTGGGGGGGGTCCCCGAGGTATGGTTCTTTGCTTGCCAAGTGGCTCACCGTGGGGCTCCTGGCCCACATCCCAACGTAAGGTGGTAACAGGGCAGTGCCAGGGGGGTCTAACCACCGAAGCTGAGGATATGGGCCAGGAGCCCTAGAGTCGACTCACGAGAACGTACCGGTCCAGGGACATAGACACAGCATGGCACAGCATGAAATGGTACGAGTATATTGTATATCTGTGGTTCGGTATGTCAGAACATCTTTACAGGTGGAACAGTGCTCTTTTGTGCTCGCATGTCGCTCCAAAACCAATGGAAGCTGAGGCACCACGAAAGCACCAAACATCTGTCATTCTTGCGTTGAGGTGTTTGAACTCCTGCAGCATATGTTGGACACGACAATGCCTTGTGCCATGCATGTCCAACAAGGACTTCAGCACATACAATATACTATATAATATGTATAATATATATATATATGTTACAATATATATATATAATATGTGTTATATATGTATTACTGCTGCAACTGCTCGGTGTGCATGGTCCGCTTCCCGCATCTTCCTGCCTTCCATTCCAGACTTCCTGGGTTGCCCAAAGCACTGTGCAGAGTTGGTCCGTTGCATAAGATCGACTTCCAGCACTCGATGATACTCCCTGAACGTTCTGGTGGAAGTGGATGGCCGAGGCCGCCCCCGAAGACCAAGGACGACCCTGTTCAATCCGAAGAACGTTTTCAGCCAGGTGGTGGTGAATGGAGTGTTTCAGAGTGAGATGCCCATCCTGGCACAGGATTCATCACCTGGGGAAGGCTTCCATCTTTCTCAAGCTCTGTTGACGTCGGGCCACTGGGAGCTGGTTTCTTGGGGCCCAAGCACCCAACTCCGATCCTTTGGCACAATAGGTGCACCAGGTCGCGTGGAGGCACCATCTGGAACCAACCACTTGGCGTATTAGAATAGGGAGACCAAACCAATGGGTAGCCTTGGTCTATCGATTTCTCTTCTTCCAGGGTGTTGCCTGGGAGGTCTCCGTAGAAGTCATACACAGCCACTTGCTTTCAAAAACACAGCGCCACAGACGCGCCCAGACAGAACCGCACAGACGCGGTCCACGGACCCCTGAGATCCCCCGGCCAAAGGCACCGCCCACCCCGCGGGGACCTGCACGATCGATCGTTGGTGGACAGGTTTTGGGTCACCAGAGTTGAGGGATCTCTTTCGAAGCCTTTTGAGATGGGAAAAAACAGGAACAGAAGGAACAGGACTTCCGCAATTGGACGAGACCTGGAACATAAAGGTGAACCGAAGGAACTCCGCCAGTTGCTGAGTTCATGTTACGTGGGGGGAACCCCGATCCCCCCAAAAAACGAAAAAATTGCAGGTATACATCAGTGAACTCACTTGTCCTGGGTAGGTATCTGGGTTTTCTGAGACACCTCCGTCTTTTTTGGCCACTTCTACAAAGGCCTTTTGGTCCTTGTCACCGTAAAAAAAGTCGCCTGCCTATAGGCGTTGGAATTGCTCTGTTCTTGAGTGATCGGCTTACTTGTACGGTCTTACAGCCCTTGCCGCAAGGGTTCGACAAGTCTCAAAACAAGGTGGTTCCAAAGAGAATGCCTCCAACATCCTCCAACGATCCAACCACCAAAGACTGCCCCCTATTTCTGCAGACAAAAGCTACCAATGGGTACCAAGCCCACACTACTGCCCACACTGCACCTCCAAGGCTTCAGTTTTCCTCCACCCTGCGGTGCTCCCCAGCTCCTCAACAAACCCACACCCGCACCTCCCTCAAACCCTCCTCCGTTTCGCTATGGGCCCCCACCTCCCGCGCGCCCGACAAGGCAAAGGCTACCTGAGCGGTTCGCTGCCGTGAGTCGCGCCCTCGGTGGATTGGAAAGGAACCAAGAGAGGAACCAAGTGACCTGAACAAACATCCGTCACCTGGAATACCCGACCGGGATAGTGGAACTAGGGTTCTTCAACGGAATTTCCAGACATCAAGAAATAAACTCCTCTGAGACCCTCCGGTAGCAAAGACCTTGTAATTCCCAACATCTGAACTGGCTGGTCTTGCCAAATAATCCTCATGAAAAACAATTGATCTTGGTGAACACCTCCATCTCCTCGTTTGTACAATTCAAGTCCTCAGTGACAAAAGAGGTTCCACCAGCTGAAAGTGGAACTCACTTGATCAGTTCAATGATCAATCCCTAGGGCTCCAACTCCCTTGGTGGTTGGGGTGGGTTTTGGAGGTCTAACCACCTTCTGAGGATATGGGCCAGGAGCCCTAGGGAATACTCAGCTTTGTCTTGTTGGGATGACATGGCCAGTTGGACAAACAAAACAATGCTCCAATGCTCACCAATATGGTCCTGCAATGGTCTAGAGATGTTTATAGAATCTTCAAAAGCTATGCATACTAATAGCTTAAAAAGACTTCAGGCTGCCATACTAGCTACACCTGAAAAGACTGCTTTTGGTAGTCCCCAGCAAAAATGAAGAAGGCACTTGACCTGACCAATAGACTACATACGTAACATATCTAAGATGCAAGTGACCTGTGTGTTGGCTCCTGGGTCCTTGCAGCAGGGCCATCTTTTGATTCGAGGTGATCTTGCCCCCGGAGGGCGACATCGTTCCTTGCCTGGTAGAGCCTTGCCTGGTGATCTTTGGACACCAGCCAACAGGTCTTGGATGCAGGGGAGAAACATCTGAATAAGGAACCCAGCTGCGGCAGCTTTGGAGAAAGCCTTCGTCTTCTCAGTTTAACACAACAGCTTGCCAAGTAACATCCCGACTGCAAAGGACAACATGATGTGAGTCGAGCTCGGTCACTATGGGTGACCTCGTTTAGCTCTCTTGGCACCATCCTGTAAGACTTCCACCACCTCTGTATGGCCCTTCAGTGCAGCTAAGTGCAAGGCTGTTGAGCGATCCATCTCCTTCTGATCCCTTGAGCCTGCTTCCAGCAGCAAGCGCACCACTTCCAAATGGCCACTCTCCGCAGCAAGCAGCAAGGGACTTTGACCATCCGTTGGGCTTGTGGCTGGATCGGCACCCTTGTCCAGCAGTGATCTCACGACGTCCGTGTGGCCATGACGAGCGGCTAAGATCAGTGGAGTGACGCCATGCGTCGCCTGCGGATCACACGAGGCTCCAGCCTCCAGCAAGGTCCGAAGCACTTCCAGGTGACTATGCTGCGCTGCCAAATGCAAGGGAGTTTGACCAGTATCCGCGGTCTTCGTATCAGGAAGCGCTCTGGCCTCCAGCAGCAACTTCACCACTTCAAGATGGCCGTTCTGAGCGGCCAAATGCAAAGAAGTCCAGCCGTCATCGGTCGCGGCCTTGTCACAAGAGGCCCCAGCCTGCAGCAACAGATTCACTACATCCAGGTGTCCATTCTGGGAGGCCAAATGCAAAGGATAGTGGCAATCCTGCTTCGTTGCCTTGGATTTGCTGCCCAGGAATCAGGAAAAATAGAATATATTCCCCATGCAGAAGGGGATTTAACCATAGGGGAACATGACAAATTATCCTTAAGCAAAACCAGGTTGCTGTATCAGGAACTGCTCTGAACTCCAGTAGGGATCGCACCACCTCCAAATGACCATTCTGTGCTGCCAAAAGGAGCGGGGTGACACCAGTGTCGGTCATGGCCTGGTCATGGAACGCCCCACCTGCAACCAGCAAGTTTACCACTTGTGGGTGCCCGTAGTAAGCCGCGAGATGCAAAGGAGTCGCGACATCCTCTTGATCCTGTGCAGTGGGGTCATGAAGGGCTCCAGCCTCAAGAAGCATCTGCACCACTAGTGGGTGGCCATTCTCAGAGGCCAAATGCAGAGCATACCGACCTTCTTCATTCGTAATGTTGGGATCTTGAGGAAGCAAAAGTCGTCGTTGGACTTCTTCCACATGACCCGTGGTACAGGCCACGAGAAAGGACTTGTCTTCTTCTTGATCAGGTGGCCAGTGGGCCAACATCACTAGCTTCAAATCCAGTGGTGGAACCAGAATATCATCATCTTTCATCTCCTGAGCTTGATTGAACACGTGAAGAAACAAGGTGAAGTTACCCTTTCAAGAAACAACACACTGACACATCTAGAACCTTTATAAACAAGGTCAACCAATGGGGAACAACAACAACATTAAACTGCAACATAGTGTTTCATCCAGTTCTATGAAGCTTCAATGTGTTTCATCCAGTTTCAATGTGTTTAAAAACTTCAAATGTGTTTCATCCAGTTTCTAAACTATCTTCCACATGCACTAGCCGCAGTCGGAACCGCGAACCAACTCCACGAGACATGAGTTCACGTTTCAGGGCCAGCGCAGTGTTCCCGCGCTCTTCCACCAAGGCATCAAACTCCTCGGCACTCCAAACTGCCAGGATTTCGCCGGAACCCGCCCAGCACACGCGAAGTGCGTTCGTACCACCATCAACGACAGCTTCAAGCGCCATCTGCAAGCGAAACTGGATGCTAGATGAGTTTGTACCATGCAAATGGCATGTTTCTTGCTAAGTCTACTGCCTGCCTGCAGTACAACCCATGATGGTTTGTTGGGTTGGCTGATCCTTGAAATTCCTCTGAAGGTTGGAACGTCGCAAAGAGATGAGTGGAACGTCATAAGATGTTTCGTGCCATTTTGGAACGTTCTTCGTGTTTTGTGCACAACTTCGCTGAAATAGAAGTCTGAAAGGCATGACTCAATCAATCAGTCCCTCACTGGACGACAAGATCATAAAAAATGAGCTGCACATGAGTCCTTCCCATCCTTCCCCTCCGGGTCCACCGAATGACTTCCAGTCTGACGGGTGAGTCACTCTGGCTCACCGGTGGTCCGTTGGCATCCAAGCAAAGCATACCAGGAGTCATAAGATGGATCGAGATGGGGTGCCGAACTTGGAGTTGCATAGGTGATGTGCCCAGAACCTCCATTCACTGGATGACTAAAACCACCCAACTCCATGTGACTCCTGGGATGCAACTGTTTTGTTTCTCGGAACATCACTGTATAGATCTGTATAGTTGTCCCAGAACGTCGCTCGAACTCGTTGGGAAACAGCGACTTTGGTATCTTACAAGGACTGCCAGTTTTTGGGCGTGAACTTTTGATATCTGCTGAAGCAAGCAACGGGCCCCATTCCACTTTCTGTGTCACAAGTGAAGGACCCGTTTTTGGGTTCTTTTGCAGTTCCAACGTCTGAAAACAGGTGGCTTCAACATTTGAGCTGGCAAAAGCGTTTCGGTGCAAACAACAGGCCAGGCAACATTCATGTTCCAGGCTTCCCAAAGTCTTGCAAAACCTGCCTGCTGGTTGCTAGTTCCAGGCATGCTGCTAGGGGTCCACAGAGTATGTGAAGGATTCGGATCAGCCGAATCAGGGATGACCGTTCTCATGGCCGGTCTGTTGGAATGGGGGCCCTTCAAGGAAGAGGAGGACTTCCGTGTTTTTGAACCTTCCTTCTTTCCTTTCCTGGCGTGTTCACGGGGATGTTATGCATGGTAACTCCCTTCTCAGTATTTCCCGGTCCCATGGATGACCTCCAACTGCAACTTAGGATCCACCAAAGACTCCAACGATGCAGAAATCCAAGCATCTGAAATTAACCACTCCAAACAACCATCTGAGTCTGAGTTGATTTGATCTCCTCCCATGTGATGTAGGACTTGCTGTTTCAACCAATGCATCAATGAATCATGCTGTGATACCAAAAAAGGAGCTCCCAAACCACCGCATGCACCGACTCCGCAACGTGGGCTTCCGAGGCGCCGCATGCACTGCAGCGGCGCGGTCCAAAGCCTGGACAGTGGACCCGAGGATAGCAGCAGAAAGTCTAGAGGTGAAGCCCACTGTGTGTGTCCACACTGTTTGGGGAAAAACACCATCATCGTGGCCAGTTTGGCTACAAGCTGGCAATACTGCTGGCGACCAAAGAGAGGAGTTATATAGTTGAGAGCTATTGCGAGAAACAGCACCCAGGACCTGAGCCGTTTTCAGTTGACCCCTTTGGAGTCTCTGAAACAGTGACCTCCGACCTCCGGAAGTGACCGAACATCCCTCCGGGATCTTGACGGTCGGTCCTGGTACCATCAATGAGTGTCCAACGGACTACCCTACACTCCCTCCTATTCTTATTAAAAGGCATCTTTCTTTCGAAGCGGAGAAGCACCAATGATTGGGCTTGGACAAACATATCATATTGGTATGTATTTTATTGTATGTTGTATTTGAGACCAAGACTTGCCTTCGACCCACCTCAAACACCCAGTCTCGGATGCTCGCAATCTTCAAGTCTCGGATGCTGTAGCAAAACACGTCGCCCTGTGACACCGAAAGAGACCCTGTGACACCGAATGCGACAAAACTGGATTACTGCAGGTGACGAGACATGCAGGTGACGTTCTAGGTCTGGGGATGTCTGGGGTACAGTGGTTCTTCATGGCTCTTCCACTGGTTATCTTATTTTCAATGACATAAATTGCTTCAAGGATCTTCGAGGTATCATCTGTTTTGGACATCCTGCTTTTTCCTCATCACTTTGTTTGTGGTTCCATGTGGTTCCCCAGCAAGGACACCTCTCCACACCTTCAGCGTCTGATGGAGAGATTATTGTCGCAGCACAACTGCTCTCACCAGACATGACTCATTTAATACATCCCCAAACGCTCATGCACCCTCATATGGAGGGGTCCGGGGTCTCAAATCTCTAGGTTTTGAGGGACCAAGGGCCCAGGGCTGTCCGGAGCGTCTAGGCAAAACATATAACTAAAACCAAACACAGCTGAACTCATCTGAATCCCATCCAACATGACCAATTTCGAGTCAGATTGCTCTGCTTCCTTCGCATATCTTTGGACCCAGGGACATCAGCACTGGCTGCAGCCGCTTTCGCTGCCTTTGAGGCAGGCGAAAAACCAACCAGGAGACGAATGAAATCCCCAATGCCACGGACCCGTACTCACCACACTACTGAGTAGCCTTACAAGAAAGGGTCTAATTAAGCTCTTACTTCTGCTCCTGTGTATCCAAAAATAACAACACAGCTTGATTTGTTCCAGCCGATTCCACATGCTCTATAGTATCTACTTGACCTCTTCACACTTTAACTCTCCCCCCTAGACAATCATTCTCAAAACAGTTTGGCACGTCGAAAACCATCCGGAAACTCAGTGTTAATGTCAAACAGCATGTTCCCGCAGTCTTTCAGGTAGCTCACCTTTCGCCAGCCTCTAGGGTTGAAGCACCCTTAAATTCGCTGAGGTTTTGCAATCTAGGCATGTGATATTTTGGTGACATACATTATCTTGAGGCCACAAGCCACACTCTTGCATGGAGACATGTTGAGGCTGCTCTGCAGAGCTGAAGTTCAAGCAATAGACTAAAGTGAATATTGCCCCACTGGCCGCACACCCACACCTGGTCGCTTGAAAACTGGATATATACCGACTTCCAACCTTTGCATTCCTTTTTTTCGACTCCGCTAAAAGAAAGAAAACATGCCATGGAGGTCACCAAGGGAATCCAAAGCAACAACCATATAAATGTTTTAGTTCTTCCCCGGGGTGTTTTCAATACTCGATGTCACCCGGCGGGAAAGAACCGTCAGCCAACGGACCTTCTCTCTGAAAGCGAACCAAGCGGTCGAAAAGATATGGACAAAAGTTTAGACAAGGGATGTGCAAATAACATGCACTGCAGTGTGAATGAGAATGACTGATACAAAACGGAACATGGCATCACACCGGAGCGTCAAACTCAGAGATACAAACGCAGGGCCGAATGATGCATGTCATTCAAGTCAAAGTTAGAGCAAATCCTGATATGTCAAATAGAGGAAATTGGGAGGGCTAGCACCACTTGAATAGACTAGACCATAGAGTTTCCTAGCCCCCCCCCCCCTACCCCCACTCCGGAACTGCGCCTCCAGAACCGACGCCACTGCCTGGGTAGGGTGGGCTTTGGCCATGACCCGGAGGCACTCCCTCGCGGACAACGCGGTGTTGCTGACCTGCCATGGGGGGTCCCGGCTTCGGCACGACCAACCGGCGACGCCCGTTGTATTCGAGGCGCCGGCGATGACGAGACGGAGCACAAGTGACGGAGTGGCAGCTTCTATAGGTGGAAAGAAACCTCAGCTATAGGTGGTTTCTATAGGTGGTTGGTTTATGTTGGTTTCTATGTTTCTATAGGTGGTCAAAGTGTTATTTTTGATCCAACGGTGCATGTAGGATAGTGTCCATAGAGGTCCATAGCATCCAACCTTGAAGCCTTAGGGTCTGATGGTTATGTAGTGTTTGATGTATAGCAATGTTCATGTAAACATGCATCCATATCATTAAACCCATCAAACACTTCTGTCTAACGGCTCAGTGTCTGCTTGTCTCATCCCATCTGTTTTTCACGGCCTTCGGTTTCAGTCCTTTTTCACCCGTGGGGGGGTACGTTACCCCCCACGTGGAGACCCACGAAAGGAGTGTCGGAGTGGTGGTGTCCAGGCCGGGATGCTGTGTGTTTTGCATAAATATGCCATATAACATGGAGTGTCTAGTCTAGGATTTTTTTCACTCATCTCACCATTGGTATTATGTTTTTTTTGGGAAATCTAACTCTTCCATTGAGATCATTGAGCCTCCAGCTTAAAGACATGGTTCTTCTCATGTGTCGGACCATCCAACCCGGTCAGGGTCCATGTCACGGTCGGATCGCGTCACCAGGCGTCACCAGGCGCCCCCGGCCTCGTCCAAGTCATCCACCGAGGGCGCTGCATCCTTGGCCGCGGAGAAGGCAGCACCCACTGCGGCCCGGCCCTGGGGCAGTCAGCAGTGAACATGGCGGAAGAGATATGAAGATATGCTTCTTTGGTAGAAGTAGTAGAAGGATGTATTTTCATCATGTTCATTTAAAATCTTAACCCCTTTCTCAAGGCCACAACCCGGTCATAACGAATCAATAGGCGGTCTTCCATCGATGTTTGAGGCAACATGAGGCAACATGATTTTCGGCCTACCAGATGTGTTGAAGAGACAAGGACTTTCTCTACCAACAGCCTTCTGTCGCTTGGATTGGAGTCTCCGCTTGAACGTGTTTGTTCATGTCGGTTCTTCGATCGCTGGTTGGTACTTTGACAAAAATGCTCATGAAGCCTCCAAATCCCCGTTTTTTTTTGGAACCGCTAGGAGAATATCTGGGTTAGAAGCTTTCAATTCCATTTAACTCCACCCTTGACCAACTCAGCCTGTCAGCTCTCTCGGCCTGCTCTCAGCTCGCCTGAAGCCCCACTCACCCCACTCATCCGTCCCAGTCCGGGTCTCACCTGTTGACCTGCCAAGAGCATCGGCTCGCTTCGAACCAAAGCTTTCAACAGCTGCAAGGCCTGGTCGTCGTCTCCCCCAACTGGGTGGGGTGGAGGACACTCGATGCTCCAGCTTGGAGTGGCCGAAATCCATTCCGGAAGGTCGGAATTGAAGATGCGAAAGAACATGGGCCATAGAATACAGGCACAAATTCAATGTGTTTAAACATGTTTTGAACATGTTAATTTTGGGACCTCCCGTGCCCGCAACCAAGGTTAGCGGGGTAGGGTTTCTGGATTGGTTCTCAACACAAGCTTAAATATTTCCGAGGCTCATGGAATCTCGAGTGACATTTGGCCTTTCTTTCCTTCTCAAGACTTGTAGTGGCACAACGTGAACAAAAAACAAAAAACACTTCTTTTTCTGCCATCCACATTGTTGCTCTGTGTGTGTGTGTGTCTTGCTGTGTCTCCCACAACACATCTGAAAAGACAATCCCTCCAAAGCCAAGCAACTCTCTTGGAAACCCTCTCTGGTTGGTGGATTCAACTCCAACATTAGAGTCAGTGGAATCAATCATCCCAAGTAAAGGTTGAACATCAAAAAGTCTAAACCAACACACCAGCTGCAAAAACACCAATTAAGAAGCTAAGGCGTTCTTCACTCTCCCAGAAAAAAAAAACAAAAACAAACAAACTACTCTCCCACTCTCCCAAACGGTTTCAGGTCGGTTTCGACCGGTGGACCGTCGACGGTCCTTCGCGCTCCTCACCGGAGCGAGCGCGGAGCGAGCAGCCCCGGTGGACCCGGTGGACCGTCGACGGCAGCGACGACAGCGCGGCCTGGATTTGGCAGGACTCGACACTGGGCGAGGAGCTGCAATTCAGCACTCGACAAGCCTTGGAGCCGAGGGAGTCCGTCCAGCGATGTTGTTGTGGACTTCCAAGAGGCCCTATAGGGTATGAAGAGGAGAAAGAGGGAGAACAAATACCTCCAAGTTTTATTGACTGGAGAGTTTTGTCAAGTTGAGTACATGCCTTTCTTTTGTCCATCCTCTTTGGGTACCCTGACTGGACCATCCCTAAGTAGAATAGGATATATAGTCCAAAACAGGACACCCAAGCCTCAGGATGATCCTCACGCCAACTTCAGGAAGCGTCGAAATCGAGGGTTTGGAGAGTTGGCACGACCTGTGAAAACAGGAAAACAAAAGGTCGAGAACAGCTTCTGCAAGCATAAATTGTGAGTTAAACAACAAGCAAACTACAGTACTGTGCATGGAAGCGGCGCAGGCTTCGCTACAACACCTCCACGATATCACCATTCCAACTTTTTTCTCGACGATTCCGCGATAAATCTGCGAAAACCCAATTGGTGAGTCCAAGGACCTTTGGTCTTCATGCTCCAAGGTTCTCCAAATGCACCTGCTCCGAATCCCACGACCCCAACCTTTTGGACAGCCCAAGTTCCCACGATGGCCATGTGGCCACCACCCTAGTGCCGTACCTATCCGAAATCACACGGCCTACCGCTGCTCCTACTCCTACTCCTACTCCTACTCCTACAACAACTACTACTACTACTACTACTGCTAACTACTTCTAACTACTCCTGCTGCTGCTGCCGCCACTACCACTACCACTACCACTACCACTACGACGACTACTACTGCAACATGCCAAACCCGGCCAAACCCTGAATCTAGGGTCTCGACCAGCTGCAAGGATGCTGAGGTCAATGCCTGCCAAGTGACGAAGAACCTCTGTCTGCAGGATGCTAAGCAGTCCCATTCTCACACGCAAAGCCGGTGCAGAGCTGACCAGTTCATTCTGCTGTGAATCCAAAACAACATCTGACAAACTCAAAGGACGGACACCGGCCTGTATATTATGTATACATATCTTTTTGTCCAAACATCATGTCTACTACCAACACAAGAAGTGACACTGGCCAAAAGTGCATTTGTCTGGGCAGTAGTATCTCATCCCAAACACTAACTCCATGGAACTGGAACATATATAGAATATATGTAAAAAGTATATGCATATTATATAATTGTAGTATTAATCAGTAAAATACTATATTATACATTATTGTATATCTCCATTGATTGACCCCTCAAAGCTCCATCTGATCATCTGCCGCCAGCTTCTTATCGAAGCACCGGCCTCCGACTTCAGCGCTGGCGCCAGGCGGCTCAAGGCTCGTAAGGCGGCCACTAGGACCTGGAGATGGTGCTCATTGGGGATGCTTGGGTGGAGCCTCAGGTGCTGTGAGCACAACAAAAAGCGCACCTGCTACAAGAATGGAAAGAATTAGAGCTCTTGAAGCCAAATGGAAATGAACAGGTGCTTCTCAGATATTCTGACATGTTTTGAGGATGTTCAGGTGCTTGCGCACCTTGCAAAAATTAAAGACATCCAAAGCCGTCGGGGGTTGGGGTTTTCCACCCTTGCTCCAGGGAGACGTGTTTTTTTTGTGTTGGAGTTTTCAGGTGCTCTTTTTTTTGGGCAGTCATTAAACCACACCATCTCTATCTAGAGCCAGGACCATCCAGGTACCACGAGTTGGTGGGTTGAAACCGGTCGACTCATCCTGAACCTAACAAGGTGGGAAGCACATCGATATTCGACGTTTCGTGAACTTCAGGAGCTATAATCCATATCAGTTAGTTCCCAAAGTCACCTGGCTACATAGTTAGAGCATGTGGCAATAGTTCATTTCATTAGCCTCATCCTTGTTCCTTCCACGGGTCAAATTTACAATGTATGACAGTTCTGCTGCAGCGTATCTCCAGTCAAGTCTTCCTTCACACCAGTCTTATCATGACCCTCTTCCCACCACTTGCTGGCCTTTGGCGCGTCCTGATCTGAAGAGGATAAGGCCGACCAACCCACCTGCGGACTGTTTACGTCTTGAAGCACGGAAATGTTGGTGGGAACGACACCAGAGATCAAGACTGCGTATTTAGTGCTACAGTATATAATACCTGCTTGACTCGGGTGTCAAAAACACAAAACTTTTGAACTTTTGAACACTAAAGCACTGAGATCTATGTACAAAGCTTGTTTGGCTCCTGATCCACAATTTAGCAAACAGAGTCGACGACACAAATCAAGCAAACAGGATTAAATAATAGAGCCAAATAATGCTAGGCATGCCATGGGATGGCTTTGACTTGCGTAGGTCTGCGGGGTCAACCCTCCCCACAAGCCGAACCTTTGAAGTACTCTCCCTGGGTATTGAATTGTAAATCATCTCATAAGATTCCACCTACTTCTCAGCAATATGCTGTACATGCAACCCGCAACGACCACCATATGCAGCAACCTTCACAACGACCTTGGTGAATGGACCGTCCGAGCCGGGAAAGAGGAGCCAATCTGCAGCAGTTGGGTAGGATCTTGCGTTGCATTTACATTTGGTTGCGCCAAGAACCCTACCCTACTGATTGGCGCCACGAACCTGCACCCCGACGGACCACGGTCCGTTGTGCAGGGAAGTTCACTTCGGAGATAATGGAAGTTGCTTCAGGGGCAGTTCGCAAAGGGGTGGATTTGGATCCAGTTCTCTTCCAGACGAAGCAGCCTGCGCCACCTTCTGGTGTGGTGCTTCTTAGTTGTCCAGCGGACGATCAGGGGTAGCAAGTGCATCGCTACTAGTAGCGATGCACTTGTTGCTTGGGAAGCGAAGTGGGGGGCACCTCCCCCCCTCACATTCCACCCGAACCTGCAGAGATGAAGCCGTAGACAAATCGACCTGAACTTGCAGTATTTCATGTGAACTTGTAGAGGCGCCCCCCCCAAACCACCACCCACTGAGCAGCTAAAAACATACCACTCCTTTGGAACTGTCGGTTTATACAATGTTTATACTTGTAAACAAACATTCTACCAGCTTCTTCAAAGTGACCGTACTTGATAACCTGGTTTGAGGTCACTTAAGCCTTCTAAGGGACACTTAGGAACCTTCAAAAGGTCACTTTGAAGAAGCTGGTATAACATTCTGATATTCCTTTCAACACCGAGAGCTTCCAGAATCCATCCATCCCTGAGATTGCTGGGGAAACCACCCCCCCCACAACCCCCACCCAGGTGTCACACCTCCAGCGTGGCGTCCGCTGCGCCATGCCAGTGGGGCAAATCCTGCATAGCATGGTGCTAAGACGTCCAAGGTCGAGAACGTTGTAACACACCAAAGCAAATCATGTCTTGGATGTGCTTCAGGAAGCCGGGAAAAAATAGAAGCTATTCCCCATGCCAGGGGGGATTCACCGTAAAGCATCATCTTGAGCAAAACCAAATCGTGTTGAATAAATTAGAATACTGCAGTAACCCTTTCATGTTGTCCTTCTCGACAAAAAGTCAGTTTAGAAACCACTGTGGAAATGAGGAGGACCTGATGACCAACATCCAGCGGTCAGCGATGGAAGGCGATGGGGTGAGGAACAGGAACAACGCCAAAGGCGCTGAGCGAAGCGGAGCAAAGTGGCCTGGCTGTGAGATGATGTGAGTACAAAACCCGGGTTGCCCGTGTCACGCCGGTAGGTTGACCTCCTTATAATCCATTATTAGTCCATTCTGTTCTTGTTCTGTAGTCAAGCGAGGTCACCCAGGTCGCCACCCAAGAAAACGCCGGGGAGGCTTGACCCACCTCTGACTGCCCAGAGGCAGGCGGCCTGTCTGGGGGCAAAAGCGGAGACCCAACCCAAGCCGACGAATCGACGAATTGTTTTTGGTGAAACAAAACAGTCGACGGAGACCTTGTGCCTAGCGCCTAGAGTAGAGGCGGTGGCTATAGGTTGGTGCGCAAGGAATTTGGGTTGATGAATCCATGAAGATTTAAAGACCTGGTTCTTCAAAGTGACCTTTTGATAACATGGTTTGAGGTCACTTAAGCCTTCTAAGGGTCACTTAGGAACCTTCAAAAGGTCACTTTGAAGAAGCTGGGAATCAGGATCATCAGTTCATAGTCCTTCTGAGTGAACTCCATCTCCTGGTCAACACAATATGTGGAAGCCCACTCAAAGTGGTAGAAATCGCTGAGCTTGGAAAGGCTGACTACCATCATGTTCCATTTATAAAAGCACCACGTTGGAGGCTCTTCCGCCACGTTGGGGGCTAGATCTCCACCCTACCCAGCATCTTCTGCAGCCACCCAGCTTTGTCCAGACCTGCCTCTGGGCAGGAACACCAGGAGGATGCCGCTACACCAACCTTCAGCTTGGCACTCCGACGAGCTGACTTCTGGAACGTGTGGGTCGAACATCGGGGTGGCCCGGTTCGACCGAGAAAGATCGGAGGCCTACAACCCCCCCAGGGCTTTTGGTAGAACGAGGTAGAACTGTTTCAACATTTCAGCAAACTGTCTTTTAATGATTGAACCCTCGGCCCTCACCGGAAAGAACACATGAGCTATGGCCCAGTTGCCCTGTTTTGGTATAAGTGACTCGACTACTCACCGACTCGTTTCTACGTCGTTTAAGGGATCAAACAAACGGCAAACACTTTCCCGGCCAGTGTTGAGCCCTCCAGTTCATTCCTTTGCTTTTCTGGAAAACCTCCTTCGAATGTTGAGCACCTTGCAGAACATCAGTCGCAACAAAAAAAAGACACACTGATGCTGCCTTGCATAGTTTGAGTATGTTTGAGTGGAACGTCGCCTAGGAGAGAATTCACATTGTGAATCAAGACAATTGCTGGTAACAACAATTCATGGGATGCCCACCACTAACACAACTTCACCCATACCATCTGCTTCGTCACCCATCTTGAGTCACTTAGATGAACCGGAGAATCTTGGAACCTCATAGGAAAACCTTCTCAGAAGGGAAAAACCTTGCACAAAGAAAATGCAAATGGGTCGAAACGCTCAACAAAACATGTAGACCCCGAGAAAAAACCACAGTCCCCATGGGTTCCATCCACCTTTTGGCGATGTAGGACATGGGGAGGGTCGAGACGTCTCGCCTGTCCGACATGTCCCTACCACAAGACAAACCACAGAATGACATCAGACTGGTTGTCAGATGTTGTCAGTAGGGGCTGACCCCAATATTAGAGATTCCTGAAAGGATCAATTGAATCCAGCCACCCTCTTCTTCCAAAAATTCCGTGCGAGTCGCACCAGTCAAACATGATGACCCTCTTCTCCTGGCTTTGCGGATAAAAAGCCAACAACAGATCCAAAGGATTCCAAAGGTCTTCTCCCCTCGTTCTATCGTAGAACGTTGACTTGCACCGTCTGAACAAAAATCCGTGTCCACCCTTCTTACCGGTCCCACCTTCCCACCTTCCCCCCTTTCACAAGGTGAAAGGTTACATCTACATGTTCCTAGGTAGGACACACATGGAGACACTCCTCACCTTCCCACCATTTCCCACCGGCACCTACGACCACCGGTCGGTGCTCCAACCCACGCCGGTGGACTGCTGCCACCGGTCGACCGGTCGAGCGGCCACGGCCAGTGCGGCGATGCGGACGTTGGGATCCACATCCTGCACGGACGCCTGGAGCGAGGCGGGGGTCGTTGGGGGGGAGCGAGGTCGGGGGGGAGAAACCACGGACAGAGGCAGGGAGACTGTCCCAGAGGGTCTCCACTATAGAAACCACTTGGTACAAAGGGTGGGCATGAAAGCCTGACATTAAAAAGAATTGGAGAGTGGGGTGGTCCCAACCGTTGATTTCTTTGGGACCACCAACCCGGACCCCCGATGCTCCGGCATCAAAACGTCATGTCTGGGTGATGAAATGGGACACTGATACCAGGATCACGTTAACCGACTGGTGCCACCGGGAAGGAGGAATGACTTTTATTATGAGCACCAGTCAGCCAAGAAGTTGTTACACTCTGACGAACACATCACATGGAAGTGGATGGCCTGGCCCCGAAAGGAAGACGACTTTCCTCTACTTTCCAGTGGGTGCCATGTCCATGTGATGTGTTCGTCGGAGTGTAACAACTTCTGGAGACCCCGAACGGATGGTCGTAGCGGTGGAACACACGCAAGGAACTGATAGGGTGGTGTTGCAGTAGCTTGAAGTGAGGAGCCGTTGCAGTAGCTCATCTGGTAGTGAACACAATTGAACACATGTGAAAGCACTTTGACGGTTAAACACTGCTAGAGAGGTGGTTTTGTGCCGCTAACATGCAAGCACACGAAGTCAAAGGATCCAGATGCTCACCAGAATTTGGGTCAAAAGTCTTGAAAAGGAGTTGGTCAATCCATTCTCCATTCCTGCAAGGCCTGAGTGAGGTGAGCCTAAGTACGTCAACTTCAGTAAGTCGCTTACACTGACTGGTGCAAAAACGACACAACTTCTCCCTGAGATCATTGGTGATTGGCTCTTGGCAATCGGTCGTTCTGATCAGACACATCAAGTGTGTGAGGTCATCCAACTCGTCACACTCATGAGATCTCATCCAACTCAAGGCACGAATCTTCCGCCAGTGATCTCTTGGAGTCTTCCATTTAACACTCAATAAGTATGTGATCCATCCGCTTCCGGATGCTGCTGAGCTGACCTTCCAAAGCGCCTTCCTTCTCCATCCACATCCATCCATCCAAGACCAGTACCGGAGTTCGGGTGGTTATTGGAATTACAACAAAAAGACACTCGTCCGGGATGTCGAACAAAAGAAAAGAGGTAAACCTGTTCCGTGGTGAAAAGAACATGGGGGTCTCTCTATTTGATCTCCTCTCTTGATCCGGCCCCAACCCAGGCGTTGCTAACCAAGTGGCCGATCTCCGAACCAGGAGCGACCAAACCCCGCGGATCTTCCCCCCCGTGCCGCCCGATGTGGGCCTTCCCTTCGCCCCCCCTCCATCCTCCCCGAGCTCGGACGGACGACGGTTCCGAACGCTGGCCGAGGCGCGGCTAAGGTCTTCCCAATCTCCCGGTAGTGGCTCTGGAGCCGGGCTCCCATGGAGCGAACCTGAGAGTGCCGGGGTTTTGGGGCGTTGAGAAGGGTCCGGCAAAACCGGCAGAGAGGGGCATGGGAGGTAGAGGTAGAGGACCATAGAGGACCTACTAACGAGTAAATTTGGGCCACTATATTGTTGAGTCAAGAACTCCTTCCCCCAAAATCAGAAGCGAAAAGGCTGAGTCAGGAGTCAGGATGCCCAAGGTTCTGGTGTTTTCTAGATCGATCTGCCAGCACCATACACCATGCCAGTCTTCCAACCCAAGGCATCCCGGCCTCCACCGGTGGCCCGCCGTTACTCCTCCGAGCGGCCAGGGATGCCAAGACCTCCAAAGCCACACGACGGTGTAACGCATCGCCCCCTGGACAGGGACCCGGACCAAAGCCGCAGAAAGAGCTCAGCCCTGACCAGGTCCTTTTGGGGACACAGGGAGTGCTATTTTCCTTCTGATCCTCTTACCTGCAAAAGCGAGCTTTCCTTGGTTCTGGCTCAAACTCATGTGGCAGTGAAGAACCAACAAAGTGAATTGTACCCTATGGCCTATGACTACTATGAAAAAACTATATAATGATGTATATAGTACGTCATATAACGTCATATATAGTCTATAGTGCATACAACCAGCAGAACATTGACACATTTTTTCGGAAATCATCTGTGAGACATGACCAGGCAAAACCCAAAAGTACAACAGGGGGGGCACCATCTTGGACCATTGGAGTCATTCACACTCGCTTGCCAATGACTCGCTTGATCCTGAAGGTGCCGTCCGCTGCCCTGTCTCACTGCGATCTGCGATCAGCATTCTGCGTGCGGTCTCTGATTCAGAGTGTTTCATCGTTCGGCGAAGAGCCCAAGTTCTGCATTGGCCGCACATGAGTGGGACCCCTATTGTCTGCTACGAGTAGGTGCTTTGCGACGGTGTCACTTGGCAAAGGACAGTAACAGGTGCGTCTGCAAGTCTGCAACACGGGATCTGGTTAATCCCTCACAAGCTACAGTAACCTCTAAATAAACCAGATCCTGTGATCTGGCTAGTCATCCAGACCTGGTAAATCTTCACCCAAATCAATACAGTAACAATCTGCAAGCCTGCAAGCAGGACGATTTGTGGATCTGTGAAGCTTAAATCATGTCTCCATCATCTAACCAAGAATCACATAAAATACAGCATATATATTATAATATATATTTTTTTCTGAACACACATTACCCGCCTGTGACCACAAATTATCCAGTGGATCCTGTGGATCCTGTGAACACAAAATTACAACATCCTTTAATGAATAGTATTATAGACTATAGATCTAATTTATCAACAAGAAACACAATTTTTCTGAGCAAACATGTTCTTCTGAGCGATCATTTCTTCACAAACAGCACTTGTGATGTGAACATCAGCACCGATCTCTGGCTCAACGTCCACATCTCGCTCGGTCGATCTCCGGCCTAAAGACTGGCCGATGGCACTCAGGAGGTCCTGGCGCGGTGGGATCGGAGAACGCTTCGTTCTCAGGAGTTCTTGGATCTGAACTGCAAAGCCGGGACCGGTGGGTGAGGAGTTTGTGGACTTGGCTATAAGATGTGTGATAATTTATTTTTCTGTCTGAGATCAGTGACAAACATGTTTGACACCGAATGAAACATATAGATCTCAAAATATCTGCGATCCTTCATCTAGCTGGCACTGATGGGTGACCCATTTCAGACTGATTTTCTTCGAATCATCAGGGACTCAGGTTTTCTACACCCTGGGGCTCCAAGTACCTTCTGAAAAGGTGGGACTGGGGTGGGTTTAGAGGGTCCAAATACCCTCTGAGAAGGTACGACTGGAGCCCTAGGGACAGCCATCAACTCCTGCTTCTCAGCGGATCCGTCGCTCATGGGCGACGAACGAACGGCGCTCAAGGGCGGTGTGGAAACGATCCAAACGGGTGACCGTCTGGAAGCACTTGGGTGTTCGCTGTCAAGACATGGCGGACCACATGGGGACGTGATCCGGACTGAGAGGATCAAGAAGGAGACGTGGTGGTGGACCACATGGAACCTGAGAAGAAAGACGCCGTGGTTGGAGGACCCTTTTTTAAATATACTGATCCCAGTGGGCGTTGGCTTTTGGTGGGTCCGTGTGGTTCATCTGCAGGGGAGCAGGCCTTTCAGGCCCGAAAACGACGCTGTTCTTGTAGAAGCAAACGACGCTGGAAGAGGAAATTGCCCCTCCAAGTGTCCCAAGTGCCATGTGGGAGCCGCAAACAAGAACAGGCAAGAATGACCACTTTGTAGAGGAAATTGCTGTTCAGAAGGTCATAGAAGCAGGGGCTGATGTGGAAATGCCAAGCCACAGCACTCGCATGGCATAGTTGCTCACGATTCCATGTGTCACTCTAGAGATCGCCCCGAGTCTTTTTTACATGTTGTTCTGTTTAAACGGACTGCATGCCAAAGGACAATCCAAATATGTATGCTTAAGACATATGGTCATATGGAACATAGATAGTATTTATTTCCCCCTATACAGTACAAGATACTCCTTACCTGCCGCATCCTGCCGCTCAAGGAGCTGGCTCGGAGAAGCTGGGCCCGGAAGGTTCCTCCAGTCTCCGAGAGGCAAAACATGTGGGTCTGCCCCTTGAAATCATTCATCACTTGGGTGTGTATTTCAATAAGGAGACCCTAAACCCTAAGGCCCTAACCCAATCATCTTTGGGGGTCGTTCTGTCGTTCTTTGCGGGGGGGGGGTCTAGTGTTGTCTGGGAGGTCTCCTTTTTTCAAACACGTCCAAACGTCCGACTCTCCAAACAGCTCGGACGTCCTGCCAAATCGTATTGTGTCTCACCGCAATGGATTGGCACAAGGCATTGCAGGCCTCGAACGCCAACGGTTCCCCACACGAAGAATTCTCGGGGATCAATCAATGTGTTCAGATTCTAGCAGTGCTCAGTTGGACAGAAAGTTACTGTACGTCTTGTTTCGAAGGCACCTTCAAGATTGGAACGTGCAGCAATTACTTCAAAATGGATCTATAATGGTTCATCAATTCAAACTGAGGAATCCTGTCTGCAGGTCTTGGGGGGTGTCAAAATGTGTTGAGACCCATGCCACATCGCATGAACTCTCCAGCCCAGCGCTGCAGTCGGGAGTCCCAGGCCACTGGGCCTTTGACACTTCTACCCAAGACCAAGCCCCTTAGGCAGAAGCAAAGCACACCCAGAAAGTTGCCGACTTCACGAACGACTGGCCACATCACCTTCTTTCCTCCAAGACACACCTTCTTTCACCCCAAGAGAGGCCTTCGTTCGCGGACCACACGGTCTGCGGAGCCCCCACCTCTCCCAAGGCTTTCAGCACTGGCAGCTCGCCACAGGACAAGAAGCACTCCAGGAGCCCAGCCTCGCCGTGCTGGTGAGGTACGTCCCGACCCGGGGGTGGGGGTAGGAGCGTAGCGTGCCATGCCGTGCTCCGCCAGGTTTGAGCGTGGGGGCGATCTGGAATTCTATGACTTCCTGACTTGTGCGACTCGTAGGGAATGAGGGTGGCTGGTCTTCAAGGAATCTCTATTGGGAGCGAGCTTCCCTTATTCACTATTAAGCACCAGTCACCAGTCAGCTTCTGAAGAAGGGGGAAGCACTGGGGGAAGCTCTTGTCATGTGTTCCCTGAGATTTACTGATGGCCTCCAGGGTGGAAGGATGAGCCAAGATGGGTTTGATTCTGGCGATGGTCCAGATTCCAGAGTTGAGTCCACAGCTCCAAAATGAATTGAAGTACACCGTGTACACCGACAGCTTAGAGCCAGCCCATTCTGAATGAATGGTGTACTTACGAACCACCGGGTTACGAACTGCTTGCACCATTTGGACATATTTGGAAGCTTTGGGATCCAAATACGACAGCTCACGGGTGAGATGCACTTCCCCCTCTCAATCTCCTCCTTCACCATCCACCGACGACTGGGCGTGACTGGTTGGCCAAGTGACGACTGGTTTGGATCAGGCAAGGACCCAAACATGGGGCTTGGTTTCTGATGGTCCCAGAGGTCCTTCAGAAACAACAATGAAATCCAGGGCGCCTGAAGCCGCCCGGCGTCCGCGTCTGACAAGGTGGGCCAAGCTCTTGGGAGCCTGCGTCCACATCGAGGGGCAAAGATCCGGGTCATCGAACCAGCCGAGTTTCTGTATGTTTCCGTGCACCAGGAAGGACCAGTGCTTCCAATGACTTCTTCATCAGTCTCCAAAGGCCAAATCCAGCAGGTTCCCAAACACTCCGTATGGCATATCGTTTCATACATTGAGCCTCAAAACGTCTGAACACCACCCCAATGTAGGCAATATAGTTGATCAACATCATCTTCTTGCCATTCTTTCAGCAGCTACCGAGCCCTTCGCGCGACACGTTGGCCCTGCCCTCAATGCCCCCCCCATGCGGCAGGATGCCACACCTACCCAAACCCCGAGGCATTGAAGGCAGCGAACGGAGACCGGCCTCGGCCCGGGCCCCTTGGGAGCAAAAATACACCTCTGAGAAGCACCATGTTCAAGCTACGCTATAAACACGACACAGTATATCACAGAGGCTCTGTTTAACACAAAGGCACAGAGGCTACCATGAGAAGCACAGAGGCTCTGTTTGTTAAACACATCCTCTACGTATATCATTCGATACCCGCCGTCCACAGCCACCGCTCCCGCTGCCAAACGCCTCCAGGACAGGATCGTCGCGGCCAGCTGGCGGCTGGCCACGGTGGAGCCTTGGACCGTGCCTGAGCGGTGGTGGTCACCAGGCTGTTTTCGGAAAGAAGAAGTGGTCACCATGTGCTTCCCCTACAGGGTTTTCTAGAGAGATTGAACAGCAGCGCTGGGTCCTAGTTCAAATCTCAACGTCTTTGGGATCCTGCTGGGTACTAGAGGATCCATCGCATACTGGGGGTTCAACATCCATTGACACCAGGATGTCTCTTTCTGGTATCAACGAGCCCTGAGACTCCTCGTGATCGACTCCGAGTCATGGATCTTTGTGATACGATGTCCTCATCCCAAACACCTGCAGTCTCGGTGGGTTTAACACCAAGCTGCCAAGCACCAATTCCATCCAATTCCAACATGTTTGCATCATGTGTGTGCAAGGAGTCAAAACCCTCCCATGTGAGCTTCTGGTGATGCTTAAAATGATCCTGACACCATATGGTGTCAAGATCCGAACAACCCCTGAGTAGAAAAGATTGGATCTGGCTCGGGTAGACATGGGGAGACCATCAGTTGAGGAGCTTGGATGAATTCACAATAAACCAATGGAAGAAAGTCAAGCGAATCAGCTGAAACCCCTGTGTTGTGAAGTTCTGTCTATTAGATAAATCATATATATATATACTTAGAAATTAGAAATATATTCCAGATGAACATGAATGAACAACAATGCCGTGTGTTCTGTGAGCGTTCCCTATCCGCTAAAAGGCTTTGAAGAAAGCGTTGTGACAGCGGTTGCAGCAGCGATGGGTGACATGCCGGTTACGTCTCGGGTGCCTTGGACAGAGCGGAGGTCATAAGAAGAGTATGTGGTATAAATACTCATAGTCTATGAACTGTCAATGAAGAATCGCTTCCTGGGGGGTTTCGAAGACGGTAGAACCCCCTTCCTGGGGGGTTTTGACAGTTCATATTCACAGTTCATATTGAACACTCTATGGACACACTATATGAACATATACACCTCTATGGACACACTCATAGTCGAACTGTCAAAGAACCTTTTCTGGGACTTTTCTTCGGTCGAAGCCCCCCTTTTCTGCCGTCCTTTTTGCTTCGTCTTCGATCCGTCTCCGTCGGTGTCGCTGGTCCGACGTCTTAGGCGTCGAAGGGGCGACTCATGAGGACCGTGAGGAAGTTGGGATTTTGGCACCAAGCCTCGAGGGATCGGACTGATTCAGCGGATGGATCGAGGAATCCGGGAAGGATCCGAGGATCCGGGTCAAGAACCGCTGAGGTAGGAGCGGTAGGGTCCAGGGGAATTGAAGTAAGAGGGAACCGAAGTAAGAGGGAACTGAAGTACAGTACCCTAGCGATCCAAGTACCTTCTCAGAAGGCAATTGGACACTCCACATCTACATAACAGTGTCTCCAATCACCTTCTGAGAAGGTATTTGGATCCCTAGGGGTAAGAGGGCCCGTGTTTTTTTCATTTTTTTAAAGGACGGTCTTGGAGGATCTTTTGCAGCTAGAAGCTGTACATGTGAATCGGCTGGGAATCAGCTGGGTCAGCTGGAAGCTGAAGCTGGTTTTGGTTTGCTTCTTCGTCAATGCCAAAGCATGGTCGGTACTTGGAACAACATGCGCGAAAGCGCGCAGTCCCAAACTTCCGTTTTGACTCCACCTGGTAGTAATCCACCACTACCACCGGGGGTATATTCTGAGTCATTTGGCTGTGGATCACAACGCAGTACCCCACAAACCATATAAGGTTCACATCCCTGATAGAGGAATCTATTCAATTTATAAGGTCAACCAGGGTTCCTCTCTTTTGACCGAAAACCACCCAAGTTTCCTCTCGACTCGATCCAGGGGTGAACGGATCGGATCGGAGAGGAGTTGATGAGTTGGACTTAGATCATACACCTACCAGGACCCTCCAGTCGGGGTGCCCTGTCTGGCAGCCTAGGTTGGTAGTGTGGGGTAGTCCAGCCAGGACACCCCGACAGGAGGGTCCAGGTACAAGGCACTTTTTGGAACACTCAAGTATCTCAAATGAGAGGACCCACGCTTCACGACGATATGTTCCTGTCCTACGACAGGCTAACAAAAAGCAAAGACATATCACCAGCAGTCAAAAAAGGACTATGTTCTACTCCAAATGAAGGGCTTCTGCAACCCCCTACCTGACCCCTACACCTCTCTCTATAGGTATATTGGCTCACCCATCACGATGTGGGCCGAAAGGAGCCCCCCTCAAGCCTCCAATTGAGCTTCAGCTTGCCCACGTGCCACATTGCTTGTGGACCTGGGTCGGCCGCCAGAATTTGGCGCCAACCGCAATACCAAAAGGTCGTGTAATGAACAGGAAGACCATGAAAGACTCAACAAATAGGACACAATAGGACCAAGGGGGTTAGCTGCAAACTCGCTCTTTGGTGCAGACCCACATTAAATTGACCGAGAAATACTAGTCTCAGTACCATTGAACATGAGTGGTCCAGTAGATGTCTATTTTTCAGTGGCCCTCTCAGTTAGGTCCCTGGTTAAAAAAAAAGAAAAAACACTGCCAGCAAATCAAAACAAATTGAACAGCCGCCTTTCTCTTTCAAGCCCAGGGTTGCCCCGCTTTCTTTTCAACCGGAAGCGCCGGAATGGCATCCCTTGTTGTCCTCTTCTATCATTCTGAAAGGCTTAGATTTAGGGGCTACGCTGTCCGGCTATCACATCTTCGGGCTAAACCGCGCGGTAGAAGACTTTCCATCAATCAACTCCCATGGACGATGTGGAACATGACATCCCAAAGCACTTCAAAGACACGCACTGCATGCAATGATCAACATAATCCAACACAACAGCGGTGTTGAAGCCTAAGCTCTTTGTACCGGAAAGGCTACAAGGATCAAAGCAACTCCAGAAGTTCTCAACAAGCTGGAGTTGCCCTGTCGGAGAAAGCACCAAGCTATTCGGAGCTTGGCGCGCTTATTATAAGGCATGCTTAAAAGGCCAAGAGACTGAGTGGAACTCCTCAGTGTCTGGTCCACATGAACTCCCAACTGATCTGAGACCCGAACTGCAGGGGACTGAAAGATCTGCCCCCCGACTTCACCCCCCGACTGCTGGGCACGACTTCACCCACCCCGAGACGAGACGATGCCCGATGCCCGATGCCAGTCGTGTCTGGGCGACCGAAGGCGCGTCGCTGTGTCTGTCACGTCACTCCGTTCGTTCGGTTTCGGTGGGTTTTGACTGAAGGCGACGTCTGGGTCAAAGGACGCCGGTGCTTTGGGCGGTTTCAACCTCGAAAGGGAAGACAAAAAGGATTTGGTGGTTTGGCAAATACGTCATGATATAAGTTCATGAAGCAAATGATCTTAGACTCAGTAGCTCAGTAGACGCAAAAGATTCACCTTCACCTACTCTCGGTCGGATCAGTTTCTTGTGCTCCTCTTATTGCTTGGCAGCGAGGACACCGAGAGGTCAAGTCGTGCCAAGAAGCTGTAGCAGTTGAAGCAGCTGATCCACCTGGAGTGATGGTGTTTACCAAACAATCACCCTCACTCGCTGCTCACCCTGGAGTGATGGTTTTTGTCCTGAAGTGAGAGAGAGAGAGAGAGAGAGAGAGAAGGAGAGAGACAGAGAGAGAGAGAAGGAGAGGGAGAGAGAGAGAAGGAGAGGGAGAGAGAGAGAGAGAGAGATTGGAGTTGGTTCAGAAGGTGATGGTGATTGTTCATGGAGATCAACTCCAAAACACACCCAAAAAACATCACCTTCTGAACAAACATACCTGGCACCAACAGAGCACTCATTCGCAAGTACAGGACATCGCACAGTGCAGGTGCTTTATACCCGTGGTACCGGAATTCTTCACATTTCTTCCATCCAGAGTGGGACCATGTGCACCCACCGACGAACAAACGATTACATGCACAACTGTTTATGGACAATGCCAATCATGCGGAGTAAAGAAATCACTCTGAACAACAGAGTTGTGGTCTCTAAAAGCCTAAAAACCGCATCAAGTCGTGACTTCCATTGGAGGGTCTTGGCAGGGTCCTGGTGCCCACCAACAAGGTGTTTGACCTTGCTAGTTCAACAGGATTCCACATCGTTCATGCGCTCATCTTCTTAAGCATGAGCTGATTAAGCTCATGGTGTAGCTCCGGTCCAAAATGGTCCAATGTCTCTCTTTCGCCTCTTCCGCCATGGCAGTCAGGCGTGCCACGTCGGCCTTCGCCGTTTGGCGCGCCAGCGCGCCATGGCGGGCGGCTCGAGGCTGCGAAAGGGTGGTAGTGGTAGAAGTTTGCTGAAGAACCTCTTTCAAACATTGGGTTGTCCTTGAGTTTCACACCAGCTCATCCTCTTGTCAATCTTCCAGAGGTGTTGATGTTCGCTCCAAAACCCCGTTCGGTGAGTATTTGCACGGCTCAAGGATCAGGTTGCTACCGAGCCCGAGCCTTGATTCAGGATCTTTCGGTGTACAGCGTTCGACCCGAGGGAGGTCTGGCCAGGCTTCACCTGGCTGTAGTGCCAGCTTGAGAGTCTGGAGGGGCTCAGCTCTGGGTGGGTGGGTGGGTGTTCTCCTTTAAACATTGGTGACATTCCATTCAACTGGAGATGTTTGTCCATGACTCCATGACCATCAAAAAGGCACCGTTGCGGTCTTCGGTTGTTCTGTATGTTCTGCATGTTCATTTTTTCGGCCCTCGCCGGTGTCAGACGTGTCATGGAAAGAGGGATGGCCCGGTGTGCGTGTGATCTTGTGGCTCTGCACGTTTGTTGGACCTTTTGATGTTTGATATGTGTTTGCGTGTGCGCGTGTGGGTGTTGGATCTACCTTCCCAATGCACTTCATCGATTCAGCCATTGTTGGGCGTCCTAACGAGCCTCGTTTACGAGCGGCGAGGCCAATGAGAAAGGAACTGCAACTCCCAAGGCTGTGATCATCTCCTTGGATTCATGAACATGGATCGTGGATAGCATGCCTTTACAATATGTTATGGAAACAACAACAAACACAAAAGGTACATCCGTTTCTGCCAATTTGGCGGGTGAAAAGCACACCCATGTGTTGGTTGCATGTGATCCTCCCCCAAACAACGACTGTGGGTCATAGCACCACGTGATCATACACGATCCATCTGAGTGCGTCGGTTTTCGCACCCGGACATGGACGGTGTCCAGCGGTCCAGCGACTTAAAAGGTTGGAGGTTGAAATCCTGGAACCTGGCACAAAACGGAACGTCAAAATCAATTTACAAAAACATATACATAATGTGTATAATATATATATATATATTATATTGTCAATACAATTAGCTGTGTAGGTCCATTGTGTGAACATCGTTTGCGCTATAGGAATCCACCCCAGGGTAAACCAAACCGCAAAAACAAAAACGAGTCGTTCTGCCCTCAGAAGAAAACAAACGACGTCGTAACGGTTGTGTTGAAATCGTCCTCGAGGGTTAGATCATGTCGTTGCGGGACATCCAAACATGGGAGCTCTCCCGACCGCTTGTCATCATCGGTACCAAATAGTGCCGTGCAAAAGCAAAAAAGAATTGGGATGACAAGTTGAAGGGTCAACAACATTGCAATTCGTGTTCTGACAGCGAGAGGCATGCCACACTTTCTGACTTCTTGACTTCCCTCCCAAAGGTTACATGTGGCATGTGGCATGCTCCAAATTTTACTGACTGGATTCCTAAAGAATTCGACTTCGGTTGCCTGGCACCTTCAGAAACAAAACGTTTTGACCAGCTGGCCTCACGTGTATCCAGTTCGGGATCTGGGGACTGCCATTGATATCAGGTGATATCCCGTCCGACGCTTTGAGTCCACTGAGAAAAGGAGCGCAGCCTTTGTGTCATCATGGTGATTTGCTTCATAAGTCCACTTGACTTTGGAAAGCATGATCAAATCTTGGATGAAATGTATCAAAAATTCTCACCATGCGTGCAACACTTTATGTTTCCCCCATAAAAAGGCTATTCGCTTTGGGCGGTACCACATGTTTTGCGACATAGATGCAAATGGTTCTTTATTCTGCCAGAGCTCTGCTGATCTTCGGGCTGTAGCAGCTTCTCCCCTCACCATCCTTGCCGTTTGCGTGTCCTGTGAACTCAAATCCAAACCGCCCCCGCGTCACGCGTCTCGCAACGGTCGGTTTCACACGCTCAAGTGGGGCGACTTCCGCCGTGACTTCGCCCAGCGGCACGGCAGCTGCACACCGCCTGAGAGTCACCCGAGTTCGACGTCCGCCGAGAACGTCGTCGTCCTCGCCGGGCTGCGAGAAAAAAGAAACAAAACAGGTGGCGCCGGACGAGCGAAGCACGGAGTGAAGGCTGTCATTCCCAGAAAAAGAGCTCGGACCTTCTGCGGTTACGATGTGTTCGACACGGTCGAGGGTCATCTCTTTACCGAAGCGGTATGGTATACTTGGATTCCTGATGGGCGATGGGGGTCAGCTAAGAAGATCCACTCCTTTTGCTTCGCACCGATCATCTTCACGAGTGCTCCAAAACCGGGGACTGCTCGGTAGGAGCGGGACTTCTCGGGACAAACCTGGCCGAACGCGAAGGTTGAAATGGATTCCGAAAAGCCACGGACTTGCGAGGTATATAATATAATCATTCTCAATGCACACAGAGATTGAATAGCATTTATGGAATAGCATGTGTGTAGTCAAAATGCAAAAGGAGAGCACCCATAAAACACAAACAACTACAAATAATGAAATATGTTTGCTGTGCAAGCTCGTCCCAATTTGGGGAGAGACTCGGTCCTCTCTTTAACGGCGAGCTAGCTGTACGGTCCAATAGCTGGGGTTTGGGGGGGTTCTACCTGGAATTGACTTGTTCCGACAAGTGCTTACCCAAACTTCCTCGAAACTGCAAGACAAGGAGAATAAGTGCATGAATGGCACCATAGTGCAGGGAAAGCAAGCAACATGCTCCAAGAATTTCATGCCGGAGTGTGAGGCCCTTAAACCCATCCAGTCAATGGATTGTCGAACGGTACCCCGATAGCTTGACGCACCACCAGCATGGAACTTGGTGGATATATAAATGTATATCACAGCGTTGATAAACGCATGCATTCAATCCCTTGTCTTCTACCTGTTCATATGAGTCATATGAGTCATGGTTGCCACTTGAGGTCTTGTTTTAAACAAGCTTCCCCAAAACGATCGCCAAAAGTGCACATTCCCTCAGGTCAGGTCATTGCTCTGGTCACAGGCCCCTGACTGGCGACGGGTCTGTCTACACTCCCTGCAAATTCTGGTATAGAGAGGAACATCGGTCATCCAAAAGCCACCTTCCACCTTCCATCTGTATTTCAGGGAGTGTATACTATGGTTTTAAGAATGACAGGGCACAGCATCGCGCCAGAACCAACAGCAAGGACCTGGGCACCGACTTCTGACTCCCGATGCCGCAACTCTCGGGAAAAGAAAGGTTCACTGAACTTTCCACCTCATTGATGTCTAGTGGGGTGTCCCCATTCTGACCAAGGCCGGTGATATCCAACATCTGTGAGTTCGATTAAAAGAAAGGAATATACTGACAAAATCATACAAAATCTCAAACAGCAGTCCACAGTCCCTGAGAATTGGGGACATACCTTCTGGAGCGGCCTCCCAACTAACTATACATATACGTAATCAGAGTATCCAATCACCTTCTCAAAGGTTGGGATAAAGGTGGATCCATCTAGCGTATTTCCTCTTGAAGAGCCTGGGGCCACAGTTCAGGAGCCTCGGAGCTTCACCAATAAGGTCCCACATATCCAAAAGGCGCCCGGGCCTGTCAGCATGGGCCGTCATGGGCGTGTCGTGCCACGTCCGAACCCCAACGACATCGGTCCAGTTCAGACTTCGTCCAGGCCCAAGGGTTGGGAAGCGACTACAGTCCCTGACTCCAGATCTGGAAGACCAACGTCTGCAGTTCCAGGATGTTGCAAGTCTGGACACCCAAACGATCCACTGGAATACATGCCGCCTCATTGAGCCCTTTCTCAACCACCCCAACTGATGGGCATAGAGGCCATAGTCTAGAAAGAACTTCCCTGGTCGGTTGGGTTCTGTTTTGGCGTTTGGGCGCGGGAGGGCGCGGGACGGTGTCTTCCAGACGAAGACATCCCATCCCATGACTGTCCATAGGTTTGCTGTTTAGTTTTGAGGGTTTTATATAGATCTGCTGTGTTTTTGTATACACCAAAAGAACACATTTGACCCCTGTGTTGATAGGAAAGGGCCGGGGTCAATTTAGGTTCTATGTGTATATGTGTATATATATACACAGTGTCCTTTAGAGTTCATACACCTATGTGGTATATATGTTATATATATATAATGGCATAATATAGACACTAGAGGATTGTTTGCAAATCCCCTATTACACTTCCTCTTACTGATTACAGTTCCAAGGTGCTCCCACGACGAAACGCCCTTCTGAAAAACATCTCGGCTCTGTGCCGAGCAGCAGAAGTATCAAGGCACTACCCAGCGTCATCCCCAAGCAGTTGGTGGGGCCGAAGTATTCGCACTCGTGGGAGGCAGATCCTGGAAGAGATGGCAGATCCTCGTGAGGTGGGTCAAACATCAGGGAACTGTGAAACATTAAAAAAAGAAACACGGAAGAATTCGAGACACATGTTCGCACATTCTACTAGGGTATGGCAATGCGGTCAGATGCCAACTGGAGTCACCAAACAAATACCCAGTGCCAAAGACACTCTATGTATTATATGCCACCAACTTTGTTGTGATCTGTTGGGGTGGTTGAAAAGGGGTCAATGTAGAGACACATTCCAGTCCGATTTGAAAGGGACAACTCCAAAAAAAAATAAAACACCGGTGCAGTTTTCGGTCTTGATCAGTGACCAAGTGGGATCAAGTGGGTACAGGTATGACTTTGAACGTGTACCTGGTAGAGTAGCAGAAGTATACAAAAGTAACATTTCGATAACCCAGATCTTCTTTTAGACCTCGTAAGTCTTACATTGCAGGAACTCTGAATTCATGTTGGATAGACGTAGTATGACGTAGTATCCGCAACAGACCTCGTGCAGCGGTGCAAACCAGCACATGTGCTGGGGCGCCGACATCGGCGAAACGCGCTAGCAGCTGAATCGCCCGTTCAACGTCTTTGAGCCAACAGCGACTTTTTCCCAGCTTCCTACTTCTAACCCAGCAACAGGATGGATTCACTTGATGGATTCACTGCATCCTGTTGGTTACAAGTAGGTTGTAACCAAGCAACAGGAAGTCTCTGCATATTTGCGATGGATGACTTCCCCTCATGTTCACACACACACACACGTGTTACCGTGTTAGCCGACGGTTGGGGACCCCGCAGGTCCTAGGCGGCACTGCAGGCAAAGGACCGCGCGCATACTGGACCAGAAACCCGGGCCATCATAGAAGACCAAGTCCTGAGGTGTAGGAGTGTTTCTAGGGTGGATTCTGCTGGACTGTTTCTATGGTGGATTGCAAAGGAAATTCCTAGACTCGGGTCACCTAAAGTCAATTGAATTAGTCTTGGACTCGGGATGATGAACCAAAAGGCACCCATGGTTGGTTGGGTCTAACCAATCCCCGTTACTCTGCCCAAGCCGCATGGGAGGAGGCCACGTTGATGCCAAACCACCAGCCTTCCAGAAGCCGTGCCGACTCCTGCGCGGGCCGGGCCAAGGCCCGGAAAAAGACGTGGTTATATAGACAATGATGCTTGGGAAGTAAGATGTCAAGTGATACCAAGCTAGCTACGTAAACAAATTGCATGTATACATATTACAGAGATAGAAATAGTTTAGTATCGGATCGTTAACACATCATAAAGAAGCTTTTTGTCATAGCTGGTCAAAAGACATTATCTCTTTAGAACATGTTCAGGGTCAATCTCACTTGGGTTGGGCTCATTCGCCGGCCTCTAGCAGTGCATCGCGCCCACTGATGAAGCAAGACAGATACCGGCAGAATACCCCCTGCATGCATGGTATAGACATCGCTAGAAATATGAAACACCATCTATCTGTTGGAATGTATTTCTCGGACCGGGATCCAATTCTGACTTGAACCTTCTCAAGCCAAACATGTTTTCGCAAGCAGCTAGACAAGCTGCAATACGATCATCCACATCGGCCAAATGTGTATGTCACGTATCTTCTGACCTCAAGGAGCCCCAACACCATTTTCCTTCTCACCGGAGTCTCGGGAGCCCTGCTTCGGATGCCTGTGTAGATATGACCTGAAAAATCGACATAGAGCAGGTGATCAGCCTATTCATAAACCTTATCGATGTGCCCCCCTTTACAGCCATGTGAAACACACCTTGCTCACTGGCATCTCTCGTGTCTTGCTTGGGCTGCAGCCGCGCTTGTGCTATGAAAACGCGCTCCTGGGGGTAGAGTTTCTTGAAGACATCATGCAGGTGGCTGGTGGTCTTGCCCTCTCTCCATCCTGACGTACGGTACAGGACGTGCTTGTTGTGGTGGGCGAAGGAGGATGAAAAGGATCCTCAGTGCCTGTCAACGATGAAAGAATCACAGCCCTAAACATCCAAAAATGTGAAGAACAGTACAACATAAAAACTCAGAAATGGTTGGTGACGTGATAGAACCTGCTGAGACATCTATACAGGTTGGTATTTATGGTTTCGGGGAGTCAGTCAAATGCTGTGGATATAAACATCATCACTGTAACACCGGTCAACATGTTGGTACCATTGCCAATGCACATTCATTTCCGCCACCTGAAAACAAAAATAACCGCTGACATGAAAACCAAAATAACCGCGGACCTAGAACTAAGGGAACCAAACATCTCAAACCATCCATGCCTGTAATGTTGACACACACACATTATTCCAATCAAATGACTGCAATGGATTCGCAAATCCCCCCCGTCCTGTGCATGCTCCGGGAAAACAAACATGCGCTTCCCTCACCACTCGGTGGCACCGGTGGTCACCCCCCCAACCGTGGTCACTCAACAAAAATACACTCGAACGCGGCACCCCGCCGTCACCCAACAAACAGATCGGTGAATCTTCCCACACCTGGAACGGTTGCAAGGTTGAAATCAATTTGGGAAACCGCTCTCGTCGAGTGAGCGAAGGCCAAGCGTCGGGTCCAATGGCCAAAACTCACGAAGTGGATCAAAGGTGGCACGCTCTCGGTCTCGGGTACCTCACCCCGCCGCTGAAAATCCAAAACCAAACCAAACGTGACGTGGGGACACCCGGCTCGAAGTGCCATTGATAGGTTTCAAAAGAAGCATGAATTCTAGGAAGGTAGGAGCAATCTTAAAATGCAGTTGAATATTGGTTAAAATTGGTGAACAATTCCCAGCATTTCTCGATATATCGAGAAGTCAAAATGATATACATACATACATACATACATACATACATACATACATACGAACATACATACATACATTTCATGAAACTGCGAAACAGTTCCATTTTTGGACTGCATTCCCGATATTGCACCGACATATACCGACATGTATAATAACCTTCTGCAAAAAACTCTTGGCTCAGAATGCAACAGGGTGTTGAAATTTTTGCGTGTTCCCAACCAACTCTTCCAGCCCCACCCGGCCGCACATGGATGCGGCCTTCCACCAGCTGGTCCTGGGCCGCGTAGACGGCAAAGCTCCAAATGCTTTTGATGCGGCAGTCATCAACGGTCACTGAAACATAACACCAAAAAACGATGTGTAATTACAGATTCCATAAAACGTGTTAAAACGCACGCATATATATATATATATATATTCCGTGTGCCTGGGGTCTACAGACGACAATGCACCCTCGAGTTGCTGCCCCCCGTCTGTACATCCGCCCATGCCCAAACGACGGTTCCTTTTAAATCGCTTTTAACAAATGATTTACGCTGCCTGAGTTTTCAATCCCTTTCCAGCCTCCATCAATGGGGATATAGGCAATAGGCACCCCGCAAGGGCGACGACCCCTTCAGGCTTCAAGTGATAGCCGTCGATGTAGAACGGCGTATCTGCAACAAGAATTCAGCCAGCAATGCTCACCAATGAAAACTTCAAAGAACTGCACTATGCGTTTTCAGCGTGCGTTCACGTCAGTCCTGGAATCTGAGCAATCTCGAGGATATCTTCGCTGCAATTTTGCAGCGTGCTCGAGCATGATCCCTGATCACCTGAGAAATTTCGCGCTGACAAACACATGATTGCAACATTGCTCGTAAAACCTATCACATCAAACGCATCCAAGGTGCTTGGTAGACCGGCATCGTTCGTGAGGCTGGTGCGATGCTATAGAGGACTCCGCTAGCGCTCGAGATATATAGAAGGCTGCGTCGATCGACGACATCGTTTCTCACCGTCTGATCGTTGCGATCATCTTTGGCAGCTGCTTCCGCCCGGGACGCCTCCGCGAGCGCAATAGTCTTTTTTATCGCAATTTTAATCTCATACTGTATTTTTCAAAGCATTGTAAAGCCTCTTCAGTGGAAAGAAATCTTGCGGCGATGAAATCTCATCTGCACAGTGTGCCTTCTCACGAATCTGCACCCCTCTGCCGTCTGCTGCTTGAAAATCTAGAAAGCACCGCCAAATTTTCTCACTCTGATAACTTTTAATTCGGGTAAAAGGTCTTTATATCAAAGTCAACATACTAACCGTTTGTAACCCAGAAAAGCATCCTTGTACAAAGTTGACATGTTTAACGAAAAAGACTTAAAATACAATTAAGTACCTACAGCCTCCAGCGGTCTTACATCGTTTTATTAATAACAAAGTCGCTTAAATTTCATATTCTAATAAAAGACTCTACTGTTCTTGTTCTTGAACGTTTTTGAAAAACAAAAACAAATAACTGTTAAAATGAATTGAAAACTTTTGTTCTAAATAACAAGCAGTAAGTTGAACATCTTTAAATTAAATAAGCAAAAAGACTTGTGTATATAAAGCACTGGAACAGTTCTAATTTAAAGATACTCATTATTAAAACCCAACAAAGTTGGACACTTAGATGAAGCATTTTCATTTTTAAATTAAAGACAAGACTCAAAAAATGAATGTAAAAAATGAAATGAATACCTATATTTAACAGAAAGTTACAGAAACAATTAAAACATGAATTTTAAGAAGAAGCAAGCAGTAGAAAAGTCAGAAGTGATAATAGAATAAAGAGCAAGAGAAAAGAAAGAAAAAATAGGAAAAGAAGAGGGAAGAAAAAAGAACTAGAAGCAACGATAAAGTAAAAGATGAAAAACAGAAAGAAAAGAACACAGTAGGGAAAGGGGAGAATAAAACTAGAAGTGACAGCAAAAGAATAGCAAGGCAGGAAGGTAAGCCAAAGAAGGGAAGAAACAAAAGGACAACATGAAATACATAATACAGAAAATGAAACACAACATGCACCTTGCCAGCTCCACCTATTGCCCCTTGAAGTGGAGCTTCCAGCCGGAGAAACCGTTGTAGGCCAACCATGGCTTCTAGAGTAGATTGGTCCGCTTCCATGCGAAGCGGTCGCTCACGCTCTTTCGGACCCCAACGGCCTGCGGTATGAGTGAAACTCATGTGTGTGTGTATAGGTTGTTCAAGCCCGACTGTCGTTTTGCATGAGCATAAACAAACACACGCATCTGTAACTTTCAACAATTTCACAGCACTGAGGCAAGAATGGTGGATCTTTGGGGGACAATATAGGGGATGGTTTCAAACTCCTCCACTCAAAGATCCTAGGAATAACGCTTAAGTTATTCTGACCCAATTTGAGTTAGTTTCAAAAAACATATTCTGGTAACTAGATCAGTGACTGGAATATGCTTCAAAATCTCCACATCTTCACATAAGACCATATCAAAACATGACACAAGCCCTCGCACAGCAATCTGACTCATTCTGACTAGAACCTTTTAGAAACTATTGGCATCTATTGGCCATGTGGGTGTTCTCCAAGTCTGAACATAATCTAATGGAATCAACATGAATGAACCTGGGATAGTATTTATATTAGTATATGAGCGACGTGCAAAACCTCATGCAGTGCAGTGCGCACTCTTCCCAACGTTATAGTTTTTTTTCTGTGAACCTTATCGTTGATGAGGGTTTGGACACACCTAACAACATGTACTAAAACCTGATCGTTTTTCTGTGAACCTTATATATCGTTTCTGAAGGTCTCCTGCACTTTACTCACTTAGTCTTCACTGTAGTGATGCTGCCTTTATCGGAGGTTTTGGCAGTTCCTCATATGACTGGTGGTCAAAATGTTTTCCCCGAAAGCGGCTGTAAAAGTCACTCTGGTGGGGGGCCCGCTTCTTGCTCAATATTTCAGAGAGGGTATCTGGGATGTATGGAAATGTGAAGTATATATTTCAATCAGAGGTGCAGAATGTTGCAAACGTAGCTAGCGCGAAGGCCTTTTTTGCTCTTTGATGATCTTTCGTTCTCTAAGATAGCCATGCTGTGAGGAGTTTGACAGGAAAAGAGACATGGGCACAAGCTCACCAAGTAGCAATGGCAAAGATCTGCTTCCAGGACAAATGGACATCTGATGCTAGCGCAAATGCTGGCGCGGATCTAGCGCACAAAACTCAGAACTTTTTCCGGTGAGGTAACAGCAACACACATCACAGAGTTCACTTCTGTGTCGTCCCCAGTTTTGTAAACAATTGTATACTACTACCCAAAAGCATGTCAGCACACAGCCTAATCTCCGTCAGTTGCAGCATTCCCCCGCAAGATGTGCAGGCTTTCATGAACCAAAGCCAAGTGAATGATGTTAATTCTAAACACATCTATATACAAGCAAAAAATCAACCGCGAACCTAGCGCCAATCTAGCGCTGCCTTGGTGATTTGCATGATTCTGCTGGGGGTCCGCTACTAAACCAATACTTAAAATCAACATCCCAACCATTTTCCATACCACCTTTCAAACAACTATAGGTATTTGACATCTCATCATATACATTCTCAACGAACCACCCAAACAATGTACGAACTCAGCTCTCAGGGTTTCCAGAAATAGAAGCGGAAGAGTGGCCGTACTACGTAGCTGACAATCCCTACCATGGGCCCATTGCCCAACGGGGAAGGGTTCCCAGGCGGCTGCAACATGCCCAAAAGTGACACCAACATCCAGAAATAATGTATATTTATATAGGAATCAATACTGGAACCAATATGATCCAGGACCTTAGAAACATTCCAAACTTTCCAACCCCGTCCTTTCACACAGCTCCTGAAGAAACCAGCAAATGCATGTGCTTCGAATGCCCAACCAAAGCCATAACAACGGGATATAGGGACTACTTCTGTGGATCCGAACTACTTCTGTGGATCCAAGACAATCGAGTAAACCATCTGCAACCCAGTTTACTCTTCAGCGCTCCTGTTGCAGGTCGTAGAAGGTGCAAGTGATCTTGCATTCGGTATCCAGGAAAATCTCTTCCGGGTGCTTCTTCCGGTAGAGTTGATACCAGTACTGGTCATTCCATCCCTTGGCAGGCAGCATTTGTTGCTCAAAACGGCAACAGTGCAACCATGTTTGTTTTTAAAAGATTTTACAAGTGGGTCCGAAGCAGCCCCAAAAAAGCAGATTGAATCCTCCAGCGCCTGAAATGGAGAGCTGCCGTGTGGCGCGAAAGACACATGCCCATGCAGAATCAATACTGTACCTCCCCAGTCTCGTCAGCGACTTACACCAGGCCCCCCGATCCGATAGCTGTGGATTGGTCTGGGAAACCTCGTTGCTTATCCAAAACAACAATCAAGAAGATCTGACAGATCTATACCGTGACCTGACTTCAATCATCTCCATGCATGCTGCGTGCTGCAATGCTTGCATGTCTACGGGTTTTCTCACTCGGTGTGAACAAAAGTCCCCTATAAGGGCTCCTGGCCTACCAACATCTCGCGACATCCACCCTGGGATGGATGCCATCGGGTCGAACATCACCGAACCTGAGGATATGGGGCGTTCGGAGCCCTAGTGTGTAGACTCTTGCTTCATAGACCCTCCAAAGAGTCAAAGGATGGAAGAGGCTGTTCAATCCAATTGGGGTGGGTTAAATCAAGAGTCTACTACACTATAGGATACTATAGGCATCCTTCCTTACTCCCAGGCCTTGCCGTTGCACCATTCGGACCCTAGGACCTTCGGGCCGAGGCACGTCTGCCACGTCCTCTTGCAACATGTGGGCGATGGCCTTTGCTCGCCCCAGAAGCATGCCAGCGTTCCTGCAGCGGGACATGGGACATGGATGGCGTGACGGTAAGAGGATAGTATTTTGGAATGATGTCACTCACCTTTCGTACATATATTATGTAGTCTATATATATATATCGCTATATATTGTTGATACACCAACGAGATCCAACGCGATGAAAATGTTCAATCAATTTGGTGGGGCCCAGCCGAGTCCAGCTCAAGTAGATTCTATCCCTGCCAAGCAAGTTCCAATATCCATGTCATATATAGACTAGTCATGTCTACATATTATGATACGTAAATTTTTAGCCTCATACAGGCTGGTCGGATCCGATGCCTGCAAACAATCAGCTTGAAGGATCTCTTAAAGGATGTTCCCACATCACTGCTCATCTAAAGACAATAGGGACAGCCGGACAGCCACAACCTACCACGACACGCCACGACAACTCGACAGCCCAGGAGCAGATATCGCCACCGGTGCCGCGCTGGCGGGGTGCTTTCGCAAATGCCTCGGACCGAGCGAAACGGGGACGGAACCTGGCGCAATGGAGGGCTCAAAGAGATAGACATGGCGTCCATGTCCATGTTCTTAGAACCCCTCTGCATCCCATAAACAAACAAAAAAGAGAAACCCTGCCCAATGGGACTGAGTTGAATTACAGGAATCCGTTCCTTTTCCAAAGAAATCTTTGACCGTCTCTTAGGGATGTGCCCATTTACATCCCTTTGCCAGAGAGTCCAATGTTTCTTTCTTACTGGGAAGGTGCACCCAGATCGCTCTTCCGTAACACGGCACACAACCCAGCTGAGCGGGTTGTGTCAACTCATCTCTTGCCTTGCAATACCACGCTGCTTGAGTCAACCATCTATAGCATTCAACATGCATTCAAGCTAGGAGTGGCTTGTCAAGCAACCGTAGCGGAAGATCCAATCGTAGATACCAAGATCCAAAACGCCTCTTCCGCCGATTCAGACGCTCATCCCCGACAGATCGCACGCTCATCCGGTGTCCGAGTCGGAGTCCGAAGTCCTCCCGATTCCCGTCTCGCCGCGCCACCGTCCGAGGCCGGATAGCATGCAGGTTCCGCGTTGAAGACCTCGCGGTTCGGGCTGACCGGAAGGGGGCGGACCCGGTGACGTGGGTGCGTTTCCGTGAAACCATCCCTTCTGGTCCCTCAACAGGTAGGGATTGGTGAGAAACCCCAGACCCCCTCCATATGAGGGTCCAGTCCAAATAGAATGAGAAGCCTGAATTAGCTATTCGTTGGTTCTACAATGGTCTCCTGAATCCCATCACCGAATCCTTCTCAAAAGAAGACATGAGAAGGGAGGATGGAAAACCCAAGATATTACCCATTATCACGAGCATAGGAACTCCGGTCATATCTCACATGAACTTCCTCCGCAAAGAAGGAAAAACGACAGCTTGGGACCCCTCTTCACCACAGCTTTGTCAAAATAGTTAAAGTATCGAAGTATTTTATAAAGCCAAGCAGTTGCCATCCAGGGTCAACCAAGTAACACCCAGTACCATCCAATCCGTGCGAATCTTCGGATTTTCATCGATGGAGCTGAATAGGACCAGGAAAGAACACATGGCAACACATCCAGGAATCCAGGAAGGCATGGCACAAGCCTCAGCAAGTTCATGTAAGTTCACTCTTGGAGAGAAGGCCATGGTCCCCCGACCAAGCGAAACAAGAAGGCCATGGAGAGATCAAGCCCCAAAAAGTTAATTCCAAACTATTGTAGAGACATGTAGAGACCAAACATGTCAACACATGTTCTACTTGATCATTGGAGACCACCAACAAGATTCACGTCCTGTTCCCTCATCAAAAACCACAAACTTTCCCTCAGCTGTCTCCAAGGGGCTATGCTGCGATTGGATTCACTCTCCACCTGCCTCAGTTTTCTAGCTTTTTGGACAATGAAGGCGAGCCAGAAAGGGCTCCTAAGATGGAGTGGTTTTCTGGAAATCCAAGTGGGTAAAGAATGAATACCCATGCCGCATGCCTGCCGAGGGTTTTGGTAGCTTCGTCTTCTTGGGACCGGGCCCATGCCATTCTGCCTGGTGTTGTGGGCCTCTGACCCAGCAGCCACTGTGAAGAAATCAGACTCGTCAGACCCATGGATCACATCGGAAAGACCTCAAAAAGGGGTGTCCGAAAGACCTTACGTTGGTGTGGGAAAGAAAGAAAACAATCGCATCAGCTCAACGATAGAACTGATCCATGGAGCAACTATGAGCATATATACAGTAACAGGAATGTCACAGGTTGGTATTGAAAGGCCTATCCGCAATGTGTCTCTTCGATGCTTTGCCTCGATGTGTTGGTTTTGCCCATGGATTGGCCGATAGTATCTCTGCTCGTCTTCACAGCTCCGAAGACGGTTTTGAGCGTAGGACACACGCAGTAAACCACTCTTGAAGAGGGACCTACCTGGACCCTCCTGTCGGGGTGTCCAATGGACTACCCCACACTACCTATCGGCTTCCATTGGGCACCCCTTGGAGGGTCTTGGTACGTAGGCCGTAGGCATTGACTGACCGTTTACTGATTGACCTTAGTTGGTGGTCTTGGAGTCAGCAAAGCGCTTCTGTGTGCAAGGTTTAAGCTTCTCCCCGCAGCAACAACATGAACAAAACTGCTGTATGGCCCTGTCTGAGAATGGCCACCAATCCAACATTTACTGAGCGCATACTGTTCATACTGTAGATTAATTTGCAACTAGTCATGAGAATTGCCATTAACGTACATACTTCAGCACTGCACATCGCAGAAGATCGGGCTGCCAGCTCACCCATGTCAAGCACACCTTTCATCTGAAGGAAACAACTTCACAAATTTTGGTCCGCATGTTCCGCTTCCAGGGTGTATCATCACGAGCACATGCTTTGAATAGCGCCGTGTTCGCCGGCCCAGTTCCCATCTGATGGCGCTGTATCGATGTGGCTTGTGGAGCCATGTTTAGGCCAGTGACCACCACGGACGGCCGCGATTTCTACTCTATCCATCAGGTGTTCCTATCCACACCTATCTACACAAACACGAGCAAACAAAATGCAAAGATCTGCATAGGATTGCATATTTTGTATCGTGATCTGCACTTGGCATCGTGGCATTTCATTTCATCCTTTTGAAGCCAGGCCATACATCAAACGCGATCCCGTCTCCGGACCACCCACAACCCGGCGGACCGCCCACAGCTGCGGACGACCAGTGGCTGAAATTTCTGGATGATCTCCTCTGGGTCTCCCAAGACCAACACATCGAAGGCATCGCTACAAATCACGATGTCCTGCCCATGCGACCGGGGCAGAATTAAGCGGCCCTCATGTGATATGCTGTTGAAGGATAGACCATGATAGACCTGTATATAGACAGAATTCAAGTGCAGAGGTGAAATCCACATATCAATCCAGTCAATCCACATGTCCATCAAAGACATGCACCTTTCTCCCCCCAATGCATGCAAGACATGCGTACGTGCCGCTAGCGGTGTCGCCCGTCTGGGTGCTTTCACGTGACCTCTGTGCACATACACCGTACCTAAGAAGGTACGACTGGATCTCTAAAAGACACCCTTGGCGTTTCGACGGAAAATCAAGGTCTACCTGACACCCTCAGTTCCATGGAGGAAGGCTGTGAGCGATCCATGGAGGAGTTTCTCGGGGTGAACCTCCACTCACTGGATGGGACGAACTACACAAACCCCTTTTGTGACTCCTGGTGCGTCATCCTTTTTCCATCTGCTCATATGGTTCAGGGAATCCAAGTCCCCCCCCCCCAAAAAAAAGGAAAGTCGATAAGCATCATCCGCTGGGCTCACAGCATTATCTTTCGCTCCGCTCGCAGCCTGGGGAGCGACGCTGTGGACGAAGCGGCGCAGGGCGTTGATCTTTGCACCCAAGCCGTCAGGCATCCAGGCGTTGCTCCCCAAACCCAGCACCTCTCCGTGCAGAGGCGAAACGACCGGAGGTTCCGCGCGCGAGTTCCGCGCGGACAGGGGGGAGGTGAATTAATTAGGGTGGTTTGGGAAGAGTTTTTTTTTGGTTGGGAGAAGGGAGAACAGTCACAAAGAAGAGCTATATATACCATGAGTTACACGGATGATCCACTGTGTAAGGAGGTAGGGATTCCATAGCTCTTACGTCTTAGTGATCCAAACTTATCTTTTGAGCCAGGGGTTGCCTATCATAGTTTCTGGCAACTCCATGGACATGTGGGGAAAAAAAGCTTTACATTCAACACAATCGATTCTGGTGGTGGTTCATGAGTGAGGTACTCAGAATTTCCACCGCTTATATAAACCAGCTGTTCTTTAAATCCATGTCACCGCTTTCAGTCCTTTGAGCGGCGACCATACCGGACATACCCGGGCGCAGACCTTGCCGGTCTCGTGATGTCACCGTTCATCGGGGAAATGCAGGACCTTGGAGCCTACAAACTCGCGCCACTATAATGTATCTCTATTTTTCTTCATAACACCCCTCCAGATGAAAAGGATGTTCCATGATTTTCCTATTGGGCAGGGGTTATTAAGCAAGAGTCTATACACCCTAGGGATCCAGTCGTACCTTCTCAGGTACGGTGATGTGTTCGACACTGTAGATGTGGAGGGTCCAGTCGTACCGAACCTGAGGTTCGGTAGGTACGACTGGATCCCTAGGGACATGAGGTTTTGTTTCTTGTTCGACTCCACGGGTCCACGTTGCGGGTCCCCCCGCCTGTGGATAGATGCGGTGCGCTTCAGCCGACACCTGCGCGTTCTTCGGCTTGTTGGAAGCGCGTTTGTACTCGTCTGGGAGTCTGAGTGCAGAACCAGTGGCCATCGAACAGTGGCCCCCCAAAATACGAAAGAACGGGTGGAAATAGAGGCTACATACCCGCATGTGAGCAGAACCAAGCTTGTATAGTGCTGGCAACAGCTGTATTCACCGATAAAGAAAGAAAGACACATGCCATCTTTGATGATCTTTGATGCCAAGGACTCGAGCCATCACTTCTCCGCCTGCAAAAATCCAAAACGCCGATCCATACGATTCAGGAAGGACACCAAATGCAAGGTCGCCGGTGGCATCGCGAGGGCGAGTCATAAACGCATGCGCCGCCGGTGGGGCATGCTGCAAAAGAAACACCAAATCGAAGCTTGAGACATGCTTGGGGCGTTAAAGATCCATACCATTTTCTGGATTAGGCTCTAAGAATCCCGAGTCATGGCCGCGCGGGCCAGGGTGGCCAACCCAGCCACCTAGCCCGTGAGACCGGGGGCTCACAAGGTGTGGTGGTCCAACGTCAAATCTGATAAAAGGGCCCAAACATCAACAACCAAATTGGATGTTTGTTAAACTATATGTGTATATTTTTTTTTCTATGGGAGACCTCCCAGTTCACACCCCACCAAACTTTCTAGAAGGATCTAGAAGGTATGTGTCATGTGGGTGTGTATTAAGATAGGGTGATCTCTCAGTTCGACCCCCTTGGAAGAAGGAATAGACAAGGACTTGTTGGTTGGGGCCCGCATATCCTAGTTCCGAGGCCTCGGGCCAAGGGGTTGGCGTTTGCTGTGGGGGTGGTGGCCATTTGAACCCCTGCGGGTGACGAGTGAGGTAGAGTCCGAACAGATGTGTTCGCGGTTGGGTCGGTCAAGCAATGGAACTGAACGCCGGATATCCCGTCTGGTGAAGTATTCCGGTTGACCCACTTGGAGATCGGCCTGAAGATGCCTGTAGGCAACATGCGACTCAGACGAGCTGGTCATCGTCGGTGTTTTGATTCCCTGTTGGAGGGAGTGCGATCAGAATGACTGGTGCAACCCGGGTAAATGTTGTGGACGAATATCTCCAGCGAAACGCAAGCTTCTTTTGGGCCAAAGACATCGTCACACTCAGCTAATGGTCTTGACTGAGATGCCAAAGGTTGAGAACAACAACGACTGGGCCCCTCTGACGAACACATCACATGGAAGCGGCAAGATGGCCCCCTGAAAGATCCTTTTCCACAAATAGCTAGCTTTCCACTTCCATGTTAGTGAGTCCGAGGGTACAAGCTTTTATTTTCCGCCAGGATGAGCAATGAAAGAAATACACCACTCATCCATGTTTTTTTTCCCGAAATAGTATCCGCTCCAGTGTAGTCATCATGTTGTCTTGTTGGAGACAAGAGATCCTACCCACCATAAGGATATATAAGGATCCTACACTATACAATGGGTACAATATGGTACAAGTATCTGCCACCCGATTGGGCATCCGATTCCAGGTCTCCATCTCTCATGCCGGGAGTCGGTTCGCCCTATTTTCTTTTCACGCACTTTTATGTACCAAAGAGTCGCGTGTCCATGTAAAGGTTGAAACCAACCATTGCTAGAGAACCGATCGAATTAGAGGAACATCCTAAATCTCATGAATCAAAAAAGGAGTTTGCCATAAGTTTGCCTCACAGTCGGCACCTGTCCGAACACCACTGCCTTGTGGGAGTTGACAAACTTAACCCACGAAGGGGTAGACTTGCGCTAAACATAGCTTCAACATATTGTCAAATGGTCGATGTATATATATATATACACAATAATACCCGTTTGCTTCATGGAAAAAACATGGGAAACTATATATATATACATGTCAAATATCAATGATTATACATGTAGACCTGCAACATGATGTTTACATGGTGTTGATGGACCAGATCAAATCAACCATTTTGGCCCCATCGCCCTGCCACCCCAATTCGGCGTTTTCGTCCCAGCGGACCGTTCTGGCGGGAAGGGGTTCCTTCTCGCAGTCTAAAGTGGTCCCCTTGTGTGGATGCACCACTGCAGGGCAAAGGCTCAAACAACCATCGCGGCAGGAGTCCCAGCAAGCAAATCCCACATGGCAATCCTGTGAGCGGAATCGTTCGGTTCACCAGGATGGTGCAAAGACTTAGGTTTCCTTAAAGGAACCCGGGAAGAAACAAACAGGTAAACACATATTCCCCAGAATAGGGGATTTCACCCGGTATAGGGAACATACAAAATCATCCTGGTCCTAAGCAAAACCAGGAAGAGCCACGTCAAAAACACCCGGAACTGTGGGGAGCTCAGCCACTGTTTGAAGTTGTGGAGTTTGTAGGCCTGGAAGATCTTCGGCAATTCTATGAATGCTCTTGTATTCACACACACGAAAAGCTGAAGATCTTCCAGGCAGATCTGGTTTTTCACACACTCACACACCAATATTTAAAACAACCAGAGCCTAAGTAACTAGCCCAACACGTCCTCAAGGTCATGATCAAGCTGATCTTGTGGTCCAGCATACCTGAGGCTATGTAAACCTAACCTTCATCATCTAGGAATATACACGAATCCTGTAGTTGTTGATATTCACTCACGGATCACCATCCACAGCAGTTTGATGAAACATATCTCCACATTCTTCCAACTATAACCTTATATATACATATATAACAAAAATATCCAAATGTGTCTGCACAGTCCATTCGTATCCAAATCCAATCAGCATATCCAAAGATTCACGCTTCATAGATCTTCATAGTTCATAGTCGATATATCTCCACCATATGTCCCTTTCACTCCCCACCAATGCCCCCCACGACCGTGAACCCGAACGAAACCCGTTTCCGCGCCTCGCAGGGTCGATCCCACAGGAGCTGCGACTGGCGCCAAATGGACCACGGGCGATTCCAGAGCTGTGGAACTTGCGCTTTCAGGTAGAGGAACCTGGGAGAGAGGAACCGAGCCTTGGGGTGCGCGCTAACTACTAGGTATGGCCTTTTCTTCTTCATGGCGCGAGACAGATGGATTCTCACGGGCGCGGGAGCGCCTAATCTTCGGCGGAAGTGTTCGAAGTCGCCAGGATGGATTGTTCGTTTTTGTGCTTGGGAGGTTTCTCGCAGGTTTCAAGTCGCCAAGAAGTAGTGGGTTTCGGGGGAAGGGCTCGGTTTTGAAGCCAACTCGCCAATCAGAGTCGCGTGAAACCTCGCCAGGGTCGCTCCATGGGTCCCAAAATCGAAGCCGAGTCGAAAGTGTCTCCCACCGGAGCTCCATCCTTCAACGACCCGAGCTCCGGTGGAGTCCGGCAGGGCTGGACTCTGCAAATCGCCATCGGCCGGAGGACGGGACGGGTTGTCTTATCTAGCTGCGAGGTGACCAGGTCAAGCCATCCGCCCAGAAGGGGTTGAAAAAGGTGTGACATGGATTCATCTCTGAAGGTGAAGCCCTGCTGAGGACTACATATGTTTTTCATATATGTTTATAATTATATATACTAGCTCATATATATTATTCAAATGTGTGTTTACAATATGTTTACTAATTATACGTTTAACAATATGGCATCTGAAGCTCTGCTTCGCTCCATCCCAAGCGAGGAACCGATCAGACCAGGACCAGCTCGGTCCACATGCACATCGCACCTTGCCTTGACTCTGGAGCATTGAATGGATGCTATGCTGGTTTTGATGGAACAAAGGAACCATGTTTTTTCCAATGATGCGTGTCCCAGGCAACACATTGATTGCTGGTGATCTTCGTCTAAGTCTACGACAATACTCCAAATGATTTGGACTCTTTACCACAGAAAGCTCCAAGACTGCCGCCATGTGGCAAGAATCCAGGCATCCCAAGCACTGCAGGTTCCGCTCCACATCCACTGACTCGTCTGGCTTCCCACGCAGGGCCGCGTCTGGCTTCCGCCCGGGCGGCGGAAGCAGCGCAGCGTCGAGATCGCCGAAGAGGCCTGTAATCTGCTGATCCTCGGGGTTCCTTTTCACAGACAAGTTGGCAGACAAGGCGAAGTCCTCCCAACACATGTCTTGAACAGGATACATCTCCTCCAGATCCTCGGGCGCACATGAGCTGGATGATTGTGTAGTGTGATGGAGGGCCCGGAAAACCCTTTCTTTAAGTAGGGAAGAATGTGGACGGTGCATGATGGCAATGGAAACTATACAGAAAGGACATCTGAATCTATGACCGCGGAGCCCATTCCAAGCCGCGACTTGGGGGGAGTCTAGACCTACACCCATAGTGTAGACTCTTGGAAGAGGTTTAATGGATAGTTTATATAGTTTCATCAAAAAGAGGTTTTACATGGTTTTATTATCCAAATGGAGAGTTTTGATTCATCAATAGTTATGCCATATGAGCTGTGTCGAAAACCTATTGGAAATGGCTTTGTAATCCTAGCATCCTTTCGCGACAGGCTATCGCGGTCCTTTCGCGACCACAGTCTTACCTTTCGCGGGCATACACTATTTGATACTCTTTGCTCAGTCCTTTCGCAGGACCTTTCGCGAGAGAAGTTGGGAACCACACATATAACTTTACTTCGAATGATCCCCACCATGACATTTCAATGTTGTGTGATTGTGTGTTTTGCGTTGAGCTCCAGTAGTGCCCACTGCGATCTGGCACTTGCGGTTGAGGTCCGGTAGCGCCCACTGCGATCAGGCACTTGCAGGAGGGGAAGGAGGAGGAAGAGGAGGAGAAGAACCTCCTTCTGAGAAGAGCTCTGATATAAATCCAACAACCCTCGCCTCGCAGGTGGGGAACAACATGCGTATACCTCTACATATGCATAATAATAAATCTGTATTGCCTCCTTCTAGCAAATTGTCATTTTCACGTGGCAAGTAGAAAATACAAATCGATGGGCTACATCCTGAACATGGAACCGTCACCTTTCTCAAGCCTTTCGCGAACCTTTCGCACGCCTTTCGCGGATTTTCGACCTTCGACTTCGAGAAACCCGTGGTCAAAACACGGTTTATTGTATTTTATTGTATTTTATTGTGAGAATTCCTTGCTTGCTATCTGACTCGCCCACCATGGGCACTGGTGCAATACAGAAAAAACCGTTCAGTTTGGGGCTAGAAACGTCCCTGTATATATATCTACGCAAAGCTCTCATGGTGACAATGGCGAAGTTGCATCAAAGCAGCGTAAAGAAAAACAGCTAGCACTGGAAACAAATCCTACATATCATCCAAAACGTCCTTTCGCATACTCCTTTCGCAACCATTTTTTCATGGTGTCTTTCGCAACAGCTTTCTCGAAGCTTTCGCGACTTAGGTTTTGCCTTTCGCGGGGGTTATGTCAGGACAACTGCATTACAAAAACTCTTCATGGAGGTTTTTGACGTGGCTCATATATATATATATATATATGCCATAATATGTCTTCACCCTGAAGCCACTAGGCAGAACCGAGTCTCCGAGTCCTCACTCTTCTCCAGTGCAGACCTTGGTGCACCCAGACCCAGAGGGTCTGGGACCGGTGATTCAGCGTCTGGGGCGGTGAGCTCATGTTCACGGAGCGGCCAATTGGCTGGCCAATTGGAAGGGTTGGTTTGGGAAGATCAATGAAGCCGGCTTACTTGTATCAGCATAACATTGTTTAACCAGCAACACATCAAAGACTCAACCCCCTTTGTGCACACTGGACCTGCCCTGGCCTGCAACCAGCTCCGCTCCCAAGAGTGTGGAAACATGTCCTGCAGTCCTGATTTGAAATACGGCACGATGGGTTCTTCAACATGACTTCTCTTTTGACTCACAAGCGCCTGACGAAAAGACCTGCGACTGTCCAGGGTCCAGGGGCCTCGAATTCTGCCAAACTGACCGACCAGGAGGCAAGAATGTGGTGATCTTGAAGACGCTCCCAGGCCCAGCAGAGTATCCGTTTCGGGCTGCGTAGCGCTCGGCTTGCCTGACGACGCCCATGCCCAATGCGAACTCGGGCGGCGGCGAACTGTGCTTGGTCCAAGTCAATACATTGGGTCTATCCTAATACCAGGGCCCAGTGGATGATGCTGGTTAGGTTGCAGGCCTTGTTCAAAAATAGTGATAATCATTGTTTACCGACTGTTGCAGGTAATAGGACAGACTCGATCAATAATAACACTATGTTGATCTATTTTGGGGTGTTTCATTGAAGGATACTGCTGTTGACTGTCCACAAATCCACAGTCATTTCTTAGTCTTGTTGTCCACTTTGGGCCTCTGTGGAAATATGGGTCAATCGTCCGTAGCCACTACCTTCTCGCAGGTCTGAGTAGGAACAACAGCAACACAAACATCATCTAACAAACATCCTCCACAACAGGAACAGGAACAAACAAACCAAACAAGCTAAAACGCAAAGCAAAGAACACCCCATCGACCAACCGTGTTCTACCGTGGTTTGTGTTCTACCCGTAGCCACCGGCCTGTCGGACTGTCTCCCGTGGCCTCTTCCGCCGTGGGTCGCCGGGCTGCGGCGAACCCGCCGTCCGCGCCGTAAAGAGCCCCACTGAGCGGTTCCGCGGTTCGCCGAGGGCGAAGGAATCCAAAAGGAATTGGGGGACATGTCTGTTTTCAGGAACCGTTTGGGGATTGGATTTAGGCCTTCCCTATTTGGGCCTTGGTAAGTCACGACCCATCCCATGTAATTATGTGGGCATATGTTTAGAGTGGGTCTTAAGGGCTGGCAGACCATCCCCTTGGCTTTGAATGCAAGATCAAGACTTTATGCTTTGGAAGTTTCTGGATGTTTATTCCTCCCAAATTGAAAGAACTTGGAACCACCTAGCCAGTGAGCATGTGTACTGTATCCATTTGCATCTGTTCTGTTTCTTCTACGCAACACGTACGTATTTCTTGAGAACGAAAAAGCCGTGTCCCACACTCAGTGGCTGTGGCATCCAAGTTGCAGTGGGTGTTGGCAATGTTGCCTTGGGTCGCGAGGTCCACATCCTTGGCGAGTCCACGGTGCGGGCATCGGTTGTCTGGGGAACGACACAGAGGAACCCCGACTCAGTCGGTTTTGGAGCTGGGATCAACGAACATGGTACGAGCAAGAGCAAACAACAACAAAAAACACTCAGACTCGGATGTCAATCGATTCTTTGTATCTTTGCCTACCCCAGCATGTGGCCCATGTGTCACACGTCATCCATATACCACCTGATTATGCTGCATTTGTGTTGTCCCTATTCTCGTTCTGCTCCATTTTGCCTCTGGTATCTGTTGCACTAAGTTTCTGTCATGTCTGTTTGTTCAATCAGTCCGTGCAACTGTCTGCATCGCTGTCTCTATGTGGTATCTATAATCTATAATCTATGTTGTCACATCGGCTTCAAACAAATTAGCGCAAGTCATGAACAATCGTTCTCGCAAGCTTTTATTCCATCCTTCACTTTTGTCTAAATAATGTCTGATTTCCCCTCACCTGCATAGAACTCCCCTACCCAGCTACTTCTTTCCTCTGACACGGGGAGAACTTTGCTTATCGCAACGAGTCGCAACGCCTCAGTGCCCAAGTAAAAAAATTGCCTTGCTTCAGCTTTGCATGACGCTTCAGCGCCTACGTGAATAGTGCCTGTGACTTCCTTTTTGTGGTGCAATCGTTGTGGGAAAGGTTGTCTTGTAGAACAAAAGGGACCCAAAACTGCCCAAAGTAGCCCAAAGTCCACAGCTTTTTGCAAATTAAATTCTAATTGTTCTATTTTCTTAAATTATCTTGGTTGCAAAACTGCCCCTATCTGTCGCGAAATGAACATGACACTTGTTAGCCAAACTGTTTCGATTGTTGCCAGAAGTAAGTGCGGCTCGACTGAAATGACACAGTTTTAAAAGATGTTCCAATGAAGTCTGTATGTGCTCAACCATCCAACAGGGCTGCTCCGAAGACTCACAAAGGTTCCCTCCCAAGCACGGCTACCTGGTAGCTTTGCAGGGCTTACCGCGGAACCGCGGCAATCGCGCTGGGTTGATGAAGCTCGTTCCGTCGATGTGAACAAATCTTGGTAACCTATGCAATCCTCAGTTTGTGGACTGCATGTAAAACCGGCTGCTTGATGGCTGAGTCTTTCAGGCAGCCGGCTGAGTCTTTCACTTGCTTTCCGTTTTTGCAGCTGTGCAAGAGAATAGGTTTCCTCAGACCTTGTGCAGCTACTCTGATCTCCGGTCGTCACGAAGTCGGAGAAGCCCAAAGCAGGCAAACGAGCTGCTGCGGCATACGTCTACGTCTACAGTGGTTTCAGAGGTTCGATGGCACAACCCCCCAAAGACATCTTGGAGGTTGTGCCATCTACTCTGAAACCACTGAAACAGTCTTGAACTGCCACATGCGGGTCATCACGCGCCACTAATGCATTCCTGCTAACGCGCTAACAGTCTTGAACTGCCACGTGAGGTTCCACACAGCCCAGCTCCAGCTGCAAGCAAGCCGCGAAGAATGGTGGAATATCAAACCCAAACGATTGAGCTTGGGTTACCTCATATTCGATATGTTTGGTAATATTTGGTAATAGTCTTAATCCAAACGATTGAGCTATCTTGCTTATATTACCTCACCTCACCTCACCTCACCTCACCATGACTGAATTATCTTGGCTCGTCTTAGTCTTGCTGGCATCCCCACCTATATATCCAATTATCAAGCTGAGGCTGCCTAAGTGATCTAACAATTCTAACAATACTCTTCTCTCAAAATGTGCTCTAAGACTCAACGTGTCTTCTCTTTCCGAACATCGGCTGGCCTACTGCCCATGGTCTTATTTGTCTGTGTCACTATGCATCATCACGAACCATGTCGGTTCCATTACCCTTGTATGTCTCCAAGCTGATTCAATGGTTCAACGACCCCAAGAAGGGATTTTGAAGAAAGGAGAACCGAAAAATTGAAAGGGCTGAGTTCCGCCCTTGAAAGCTCTTCAACCCCTCAACTCCCCTTCAGCTGCAAGCAAGATGGCTAATCTTGGGAGGTTCCTTTCCTTCCAAGCTCACTTCCAAGTGCCACCAACCTGAAACCGGCAGACTGCACCGTTTCTCCGACTCCGCCTAGGCACTGGCAAGCCGCGTAAAGGTCTCAGCATCCGAGTGTCCTGGACGTGCCGGACACGACTTGGACATGCGAATTACCAGTGTACCTTGAGACCTTGAGAGACGTTCTTCGGCTTGGAACATAGCATTAAATGCTTTTTTACTTGAATTTTAGTAAGTCAATCAGGAGACGTCTGACGTCTATATCAGTGGGGAAGAATCAGGAAGTCTTTTGAAAGTCCAAGATGTTCTTCACTGTTCTCAAGACATACCGGGACACTGTTAAAAAGATATCGCCACATAAGCAGCTCAGCTGCACATCCCATGGCATGTGAACCTGCAAAATCACTCCCTGGGACCGCAAATCACTCCAGTTAGAGGTTCGATGGCGCTGTTGGGCCCCCGCAGTTGGGTGGTCTATACGGTCTCCCCAGTCTACCACATCGGTGTGCCAGTGCCATCGAACCTCTGATAGCCCACTGTACCAAGTACTGTACCACTGTGAACTATGCCAGTGTGACGGTGTTTGTCGCTATGCATGGTGTAGAACTGCTCAATGTTCGAACGGCGGGGTGAGGGGTTTGGTCCCAAATGAATTGAGGATCGCTGAGGTCTTCAGACCTCATCACACTGCTAGAACAGCAGAATCCTCATGGTGTTCCCGAAAAACGAAGGTTTTGCAGGTCATCCACTTTTCCTGGGGTAGGACGGTGACAGTAGCAAACCAGTAGTTGGATGTGTGCAAAACTCAGCGCTTGAATCCACTTGACATTGTCGCATGTGCATTTGTTTGAGCCAGCTACAGCTACAGCCAACCACCGGTTTCTTGTGGGGTCTGAGTCTCGGATCCCATCGTGAAGTCCTCCTCCCAAATCATCAGGTACTTGGCCCCTTGTTCGCGTGCCCAGCGAGCTGCATCCGCCAGGCGTAAGAGGTGCCGATGACACGTGAAGTTGGCGTTCATGTACCTCAGGAAAGCACAGGTGTTGTTCCAGGGAATCTACTGCTGTCCCAATTCTGGGATGAAGCTTTCAGTGTCCCAACTACGTAGCAGCTAGACAAAACGACATCTTGCCAATCATATAGAAACTGGTTGACAAATCCAACGACCATGACCTGATCACCCGAAAGGCCCCTCGGTGGGCAGGGAAGAAGAAGTACTACACCCGGCAGTGCAGTGTTTCTCCGTGACGGCAAATGTTTTATCACAGGAAGTACTCCCCTCTGCAGATTTAACACAGAAACCACTGTGTTGTAGAATGTTGTAGAGGTTCAAAATGGCCTTGCACCGGTCAATTCTCAGGTTCCATGTTATTTTGCGGGAGGGCACCAAGGCTTCAAATTCAAATGGCTTCGGTGTTTCATCAGGAGCTTCGCCGCAGAGCTCCCTGCGTTTTGCCAGGCAGCTGAGCCAAGTGCATCGGCATCTCCTCCCAAAGATGGGAGAATGAAACACAAAATGTGTCACACTCCCTGAAATACCCTCCCGCAAACTAACATGGAACCTGTGAATTGACCGGTGGTTTCGACCATATTCCGAATACCAACCCGACGTGGTTTGGGGGTTCCATGTTAATCTGCAGGGGAGTAATCAAGAGTGGATGACATGGCTACTTGGATGACCAGTTTAGAAGACCAAACAGGTGGTTGTCAGAGGTAATCCATCATTCTTTCAGGGAGTGTCCTGATGAATACCGTCTTCTTCATCCCAAGGGAGGATCACAGTCCCTTTGAGACTCACTCTGACTCTGGAGACGGAGAGTAGAAAGGCAAGACAATCCTTGGTGCTACACCACACCAGCTTCTTTTCCCAGTGGTCGCCGAGGTGGCTACACGACACGATGTGACCCTTGACCATTGGGCCAATTGATCCACTCGCCGGAGCCAAGCCCAAATCGACTAGACACAAGCTGAACATCCAAGGGAGCGTTTTTCAAGGAAAAAGCCGACATGGATTATATACATACAGATCCATCTGCCTGCACCTATTGAAGCTGGTGGACATACCACAAACATGCGTCCCACAAGATCTATCATATCCGTTTGCTTCTGTGCCAGAGATAGCCGCTCGATTCGTGCAAGTAGCAGAGCCCCCATAGAGAAGGTGGTAGTTGGAGTCGGAGCCCTAAGGAAAAATAGTCAAGGAAGCTGCGGATCTAGATTTTTCTTCACTGAACATGTCACCAACACACTCACGCTTCAGGATGGTCTCAAGGTTCGCTGACAAGCAGGAAATACCTGTTGGACTGAGGTGTCCCCAATCCCGAAGGTGTTGCAGGTCATCCCCTTCCTGCAAAAGATAGAGATGACATCTGGACATCTCCGCGAGTTCAAGGGCCATCCCCCCTACCGCTCTTCCGCTCTCCACCGGTGGATCGCCCCCCCCCCCCCCCCGCCGCGCGGAAGGCGTGGATCGTCCACTTCTCCGCGAGGCTCTGAAACCTGGGCTCCCCGAGCGCTCGGTGTTTGGGGGACGAACATCGGGGAGACGAAGGCGGGGAGACGAGTCTCATGCAAAGAACAGTGGTGGAACCCAGTCTTTCCCAGTCCAGCTTTTTTTTTCTTCAGCTGGACGGACTGGACTGGGAACCCTGCTTTTTCGCTTACATAGCTGAAGTTGAAACATTTGTACCTTTGCTGCAGGTGATGTAGTAGATAGTTTCACCCTATGCGTCGATGGGTTTTGTTTGAATGAGGGAATGCCTATTTTATCAATTTTTGTCGTATGTTGCACTCTGTTTGCCAACCAAAACCGTGGAAGATCCACTGAACTTCTTAGAGCTCAAACCTCCGGCAAAGGCCCTGCTGCACTCCAGCTGTATGACGACTGATGGGCAAGTCATCTGCCCTTACAGTTTCCAAGTGATCCATTCTACTTCATGTTTACTTGCAAGGGACTGGATCCCAAGTCGGTCGATGGTAGTCCATCCAACAACATCGAGGAAACATGTACTTCTACTCCTCCAAATCGACCGCGTGCAAATACAGTCAATGCAGTCCATTTGGAATGGGAACATTCTCTTCCAGAATCTTGGAGCGTGGTCTCTTTCAGAAACAAAATTGGGTCGAGTCTATACTATTACCGGAGCCTACTCGTGGATGATGATGGTTACTAAAGGCCGACTGTTCAAAAATATAGTGATATATAAGATGTGATAAGTGATAGCCCTTTACTGACTGTTACAGCTAATAGGACAGACCATGACAGACCCAAATCATTGATGTTGGAAACTCTAACACATGGCCGTTGACGAAAAGCCCTCTGCTTGCTACAAGGACAAATTGTCCAACACCCATTTTGCCGTTTTCGGTGCGTTCTGCTTGGCAGAATGCATGATCATGAATGATCTGACTTCGTGATATTGAGGAAATGTGTGCAGAACTCAAGGAAGGCGAAGCATTTGATGTCAAGAACCAAGCATTCTATCAACATGAATTCCTCTTCTGCGTTCCTCCCGCCTCAAATCCAAAACCAACTCTTTCCCTCGCATCCCTCCCTCATATCGGGTGGCGAGGGCCCCCCATCACTGATGAGATAGAAGGGTGCCTCGGGAAAGTGCCTTCGCACGCTGGCGATGGAGAATTCCATCCGACGGGAGACCTGCACGGAAGGGCGAAAAACGGGCGAACGCACGAAAAAACGGTTGGAACGTCCGGACGATGTCATTCAAACAGCAGAAGTTTTGTAACTTTTGATTGATGCTGATTGGATAGTAACTCAGTTGATTGGATAGAAAAGCACCACAAATACTATGGTCAGGTCAGTGATTTGCGTGACGGTTGAATGGTGGAATGGGCGTTTCGAAACCGCCAGGACCATCGACCATCTTCCGGACCAGTCCAATGAACAGCGGCCATCTCCGCGGCCTGATTGGTCTGGAAGAAGAAGGCCAAATCTTTAGGGCCCAGGGCGATCCACCCTGGAAGCTGTTCCTCCGCTGGAATGGCTCGCTTTGTGTGGCGAAAAAAAAAGGAAACCGCAGAAACTGAGTTTCGAAGCACGAACTCCACTCGATGTGTTTTTCTGGTGCTGTCGGTTGTCTGATTGGACACATCCATGGCTTCCATGTTTCCATGGAACATCCGTTTTGCTTTGCTTCCTTCTTCGCTTCCTGTGACCGGAAACACGGCGGTTATATCGCTCGCTCCGTCTTTGCGGACGGTCCTCCGTTGGAGGAGCCCCCAGATCGGGCGGTGGCGACGCACGAAGGGAGCGATGCATGGTATAGAACTGGTACACAGCAATCCTCAGCAACATCGAAATACATCTATCGCACTCGGTCAGTGCTTTGGCAAGAACAAAGCACGAGACGAACGCAGCACGAGACGAACGTGAAGATGCAAGGCGGTTCGCCGAATAAGTACGTGTCATACAGTCAACAGTCTGTACCAACATGTACCAAACTGAACATGTGGATCGGGAAGAGTCTTTTCTACCAGGTGAGTGTTAGGAGTTAGGAGTAGTGAGCAACTGGGATGTAAAGGGAATGTTTCCAGAAAATATGCGGAACAGTGAGATTGGCTCCTGATGTCCCGACTTCCAAACATGGATCCCTTCGTGCGGCTTGAAGGGAACCAGGATGATTTCAAAGGGCCAGGTCGCACCGGTCGCACAGAGCAGGTCGCGTCCTTTGTCCCACCGAGGATCAACACCAGCAAGGCCAAAGCCCTTCGCAGCGTGGCAAACATGGCGCTCTGCAGTGGCACAACGCCCGCTCATGGGCGGGGGGTCTCCGCCAGCGGTGGCAAGACGCACGCGAGGCATTTACAGTCCATCGGTCAAGCAGAAGGATGCAAAAGGCAGCAATTTGATGTCACTTGTCCAGAAACTGATGAGTTAACTTGTCAAAGTGACATAAATTGCTACTTGTTTTAATTTGATGAAGTTACTTCTCTTTGTTACTTGTTTTGATGTTAGTTTGGTAAGATTTGTCTCAAAACATCTCAATACTGTTCCAACCAGTGTTGCGCATGGAGTTCTTCTGCTCATCAACGACGCACAAAAAACATCAGAGTGAGGGGTCAGGCCACAGGGAACTCCACAAACTGCTGGTCAGAGGGAGAGTTAGCTGAAACCATGGGTTTAGTACTTCAACAGTAAACTCCCCAACCAATACGTTTTTGTTTACTCGCATCCAAATACTGTCTGCTCATTGAGAGACTCCTATCGAGGTTCACCATGAGCTTTCTTTCCCATCTCCTTTTTTACCGGACAAATGAATCATGCAACAGTAGCTCAGTGGTCTAGACTAATCTGTACCAATATATGGGCCCCACTTTGTTCGCTTTTCTCAGGTTTGATTTCAATTTCTTTGTTTGGCATCGACTAAGTTGTGGCTCCAAGCTCCATGGCTGCAGGTCACTTCTATGACACACGCTGGTCTAGAATCCCCAGTGGAATGGAGGCAAACCAGTATGTTCCAACCCAAGGGCTCGTTACCCACTCCGGGAGGTTTAATTGTCAAAGCGTTTGACTCACAGAATGACATAGATGCATTTCAATTGCCTCAACTTGTCAACAAATATATAGATCTTCCACATGACAAATCTACTCCCTAAATGGTTAAAACGCGGATCCACCAGAAGTAGGGCATCCAAGAAACATTGGAGGTTGAGTTGCGACGACTTCATATAGGCATTAATCCTTTTCACACCATTCACGAAGAAACCCCAGCTTTCCCTCCCCTTCAATTTAGGGCATCGATGCCTCTCAACCATCGGGTCTCTTCTTGGAACAGCGGGACGCTCGATCTTTAGATCCCATGCACATCATGCACTCCCCAGTGGTTTGAAACTCATTTGCCCGGCTGAAGTTGGCAAATGCGGAGAACCATTAAGCCAAGTACAGCTTCACTTCGACCCTTCATGATCCTTCCATATCTTTCATAGGCTCTTGCACATGCCTCTGCTCCCCAAAGCCGGTGACGTGACGACCAATTTAGGCCTGGTAGATTTGGGGTGCTTGGACTCCACCTCAACGGTGACGACGTTGACATTTCCGACAGTCGGCTTGATTGCTACATCATCCTATTCTGCATGTTCTATCCCTTTTCCATAGCCATATTCTTGCTATACTGAACGGCATCCTATTGTTGTTCTTGGGGGTCTTTGCTGTTGTCCTCAGGGAGCGACTTCCACTCGGTCTCTGGCCAAAAAGAATAATCCTGAGGTCATGACTCAAGCCCGAGCCCCTTTTTGAACGCTAGTGCTTCTTGAAGCCTTGGAGCCCCTCTTCGCGCGAAAAGCACCGCAGCATCCAAACGGCAGCCAGCAGGGGCCACAGAAGCAGCAAGGCTATGCCAAGGCATAGGACTACACTGACGATGTCAAAGAGCCGAACTGGGTTCTCAAGGCATGTCCTTAAAAGCGAAGAACATTCGACTGACTCGAACCCGCACACCGCAGTGTCACACTCGAATCTCTCATCTCGTGTGGTAGATTTGACATGGGTATATCATATCCCAACACCAGCAACAGTGGATGATGAATGGTTATTGGTTAGGCTTTTCCCAAGAGTTGTTTGATGTTTTGGTTTGATCATCCTTCATGGACACCCTCCAGTAATACACTGCTGCCATGCAATGTTGATGGTTTTTTGGACAGTTGAAACCTTACTGATTCCCAGGATTGACCATGCTAGAATGTGTTTTTGTTGCTAAGCACGTCAGCACGTCTTGGTCGATTCTTGCTTGAAATCACTCATGTTGCATTGATCTATCGTTTTGTTCAAGAGAAGCCCAATCAAAAACCGGAGAAGCCCACTCCCCACTGTCTACTGGGCGAGTTGCACCTCGCCCCACCAGTTGAGATAATGAGCATCGCAGACCCTGGCTCCGGTCGACTCCTCAATCAACTTGTGAGAAAACCCAGAGTACCGTCCAGGACCACTGAGCACAATACCTGAAGTCGAGTTGAGTCAGAAAAATCACACAGCTTGTCTCAGTATGGCAAGGTCAAACGGAAATCCAACAAGACAACATACAAAAACACCCCCTGCTGGATATATGACCCTGACCTGTGACAAGTTTGACCCGAAGCCCGTGACAGTTTTTTTTTTTTAAATTGTAGCTCCCACAAATACAGATTTGAACTTGTCAGAATAGTTTTGGATGATACTATGATCTGTTTTATCAACGTTTGACAATCCAGCACACTCCAGCACCCACTCAAGCACACAAAAACAATATACCTCCTCATGACAAGAAGATCACAAAATAACTATATCCTGGCAAGGAGCTTGTAGATTCCAAGAGGGGATTGGGTCGGTTGAGTCTGAACATGCAGGGGCAAACTTGGCACCTCGCCCTGTGGCACCTCCCTTCATATCATTAGTCAAGAGGCTATCAGCTTGGGCGATGCTCTTGCCTTGGCTTTGAACATTGCAAGACTGCAGGGCTCTCTGTTGTGCTTCAGAACTCTATTGTGTGAGGAGATTGAACGAACATCAGCCTTGCTGTGTGTAGCACGATCTCTTCTGCTGTGCAAGCTATCTTCTGCTGGCTGGTATCTCCCCGTGATATCGACAAACATATTGCCCACACATCTCAAATCCTGGCCCTGGCCTCTCAAAACTAAAAACCATTTGAACTATATGTTGGGTAAATCCCATTACCAGTAACAGCGGCTGATGATGGTTAGGAAAGTCCTTGCTCCGAAATTAGTGATAATAATATTTTGGCAACTGCCACTGGTAATGGGTCACACTCACACCCTCACTAATTAATATGTCTTTCATCCCTTCTTCCAATTCAACTGCGCAACTGCTCTCCATCGATCCTCAGCTCTGGCCGAGGGGCCATTCCAGTTTCTGGCCGACGCGCATCTGCGATAGGCCTCGATCTGCCGCATGGGAGGCTTAGCATGCCACCCCGAAGAGCCAAAGATCAAGTACCACACGAAGAACATGTCCACTGAGCCCGCCTGTCCGGCACTTGAAGTATGCGAGCCGCTTTTGACAGCCAATGGCTGAGAGCGGCTTGAACGAGCCGTTTCGATGGCTCCAAAAGGTAAGGATCTGTGGAATTCGCAGGTTTGTGTCTTCCCTGGCGGCCAGTGGGGTGACTGGCAAAGGCTGAAAATTGAGTCAAACTGGCCTGAGGCGCGAAGGTGGCTTGAACAGGACAGGGGTTGTTGGACCGAACTCTCTTCCAACTTCCAAGTGTCTTGTTGAGGAGAATGATTAGTCGACACAAGCACCTATCCCAGCCACATCGATCTCGACAAGAAATGGAAGTACCAGTAGCGAGCGACGTTTCCATCTGGCATATATATATATATATTAGGTCACCGAGCTCAACAAAAGCGCGTCTTCCTTCTGAGTTTAAAGAATGAAAAGGTGTGGCCAAGGAAAACACCAACTGAGACCTGTTGGCAGAGAGACAAAAAGGGTACAGTATAGAACATGTTTAGAAAAACAAACAAAAGAACATCAAAATCAGCCAGCATCTACTGCTGAACAAGAAACAATCAAAATAACGTGAAATGTGAAAACGGATCTTCCGATCTTCCATAGACCATGGACTTTTGATCCAAACCATGAGGTTATAAGTTGTATGAGTCAAACCAAAACCCATTTGAGTCTGACTCTGGAACCATTTCCCTGGTAAAATACAGGTTCTATAAGTATGACATGTTCCACCTGTTGGTTTTTAATAAATTAATTCCCCCCCAAAAGAAAGGTTGGCCAGATTATCCACCGCCTTCGACCAACGGCGGGATGGATGGCACCGGGGTGGCGAGTCGGCCCGGCCGAACCGAAGGAGGACTTCCACTGGAAACGAACCACGGTCACCACGATCTTAAAAGCTAAGTGGATCTGACGATTTGTCTATCCCACGTGTGGCTTTCGATCTACATGGACTCTTCAAAAACATCACCTACAAGTAAGTGGAAAGGAGCGAAACACATCTTAAGCTGCAAACATGAGGCCCATCTCCCTGCCACCCCCAATCCATCTGTGCATCAAGGCCGCCACCGGGCGCCCACCGCCTGGCCTGGTGGGTGTGTGGCACCAAGAGCTCCCGCAAGGAGCTGGCCTGGCGGGGGAACATGAACTCATCCAAATCCAGCCTTGGATTTGCTGAGTTTGAGAAAGCCGGACAGAAAAACATTAAGTTAAACATACGTTTCACCAGCTGGGGAGATTCACCTAGTTCGGGAGAACACACATCACCCGGAAAAAAACAACAACCAAAGAAAACTGTAAAACCTCTTCCAGCTGGGGAGATTCACCCCAAACGTCGGGACAATGGAAAACGAGGACCCGAAAACCTGCCAATGGCGCCCAAGGCAAGCAGCTGGGCGATCCAATATGTCGAAACTTCCTGGACGATCCGTTTCACCTCGGGCGAGTTCTCGGCATTTTCAGGTGGACCGGTGAAAAGGGAGCGCTTCCTTTCTCGACTCAAAAGGCATCCAAGATCCAAAGCCACCCTAATAGTATTCCAAGTGGGCTGTAGCATGTTCTATAGCTAATCATTATCTCCATCAAACACAATCCACACCTACTTCCCTGACATCAATTTCCTGACACATCTACTTTCATCCACGGTCTTCCCATCGATTCCTCCGGCTCCAAGGGGCGGCTGCAGCTCGAAAGGCCTCTTCTTGGGCACCGCCAGATCCACCTCTGAGATCCTTGGACTTAGAAGAAGACCCAGCGATGACATGAGAAGGATCCACATGAACTCCATTGGCACTTCTCTTAGAGCAGCCCATACTTAACGGCTTGAGAAGTGCCAAAAGCTCCACATGAACTCCACATGAACTCCAGAAGAGATCTTCTATTACTCTCGCACATCTTCTAGCGGTTAGCCAGTTCGGGTGCCGTGAGTGACCTTGGTTTTAACATGCTAGTCACTGCTAGTCCAGTTCTGATCATCTTTTGAGTTCAAACCAGCTTCTGAAGGATATGAACTTGCAAACAAACATTCTTCCACTTCCTCTGAAAGGTTCGGTTCACCCGGTTCGCATCCTTCAGGACACACGGCCGGCTCGCGAGTTCCCTGGAATATCAGGCCCTAGCCTTCCAAGACCTCTGAGTAAAACAGTGGTTCTGTGGATGTTATTTGATAAGCACTAAGCTCACTAAGCACCGTAAACAACCATTATCAATCAATGGTGCTTGGAATCCTAGGGAAAGGTTGGTCCTTTTCAATCTGTTCATCTTCAATGAGGTGTCCCCCACCCAAAAAGCTTGGGCAGTACATGGCAGTACCATCCACATTATATACTTCCTGGGAAAAAAAGGCCAGTTGGGAAGGCTGCAAGATGCTCTCTGAGCTCTCTGCAAGCTCTCCAAGCTCTCCGAGGAAAGCACGTCTTTTTGGGTTTAAATGCGAGCCACATTTGTATACCAGCAGTTCCAAAGGAATGTCCGAACTCCCCCAAAAGTAGATCCGTTTCAAATCCATGTATCCTTCGCCTTCAAATTCCACGTCATCAGCTCGTCCACCGGCACACAGTTGCCATCCACATCGATTCGACATGGCCACAGCTCTACCACTCCATTGGACACGTAATCTTTCAGTAGTTCTCCCGTGGAGCTCACGTTTCGAGCATCATAAATCACAAAATGATCCATGCCCGCAACAGTATGGAAGTCAATCCACTCCAACAAGTACTCATCTTCCACGGTGCTGAAGAGATTCACTTCCAAGACCGCAGTAATGAAGTGCGGTCGTGGTGTTCCTTGATGATCTCTACCCATTGCATGGAAACGTTGAAGCCTCTCTGACCATGGCAGGGTCTTCAAGGAATCCTCAAAGGGACTGGACACAGCAGTCAGGTGAATAGTTGAAAAGATTGGATTGGACAACTCTGCAACCAAGCCATCAACAAGACTCCAGGTATAGGCCAAGACTCCATCAGGGGCAAGAAACGTAAAATCCGCCTGGCGCCTTCGCAGTCGTTCAAGTGTTCTTCTTCCTCCCTTCGCCAAAAGTCCTGCATGTCAGAAGCTAGGAATCCTAGAGGATGGGAGAATCCTAGAGGATGGGATCCAATGGGACCTTCGGTAGGTAGGCCTCCAGACTGTCCAAAACCCCTAAGAACCGAACCTGGTAGGTGAGTCCATCCAGGAATCCAAGCTGCTGTCATGTGAGCGCAGCTGGAATTCGTCAGGAACCATCAAGCAATTGCGCTGCAAGCTGCATACAAATGGTCAATGGCCCTAACAAGAAAATCCCATTGAACTACTGATAACATAAGGAGAGTGGCTTTCGTTCTTTTTTGAGGATCCAGGTTCATACATACATTCGATAGATGTAAGTTGGTCACCCGCAGGCCGCGGAACCAACCAAATCCTTTTTTCTATAACAAGAACCTTGGTTTGCACATCCCAAGTCAGTACCCAGAATGTGCCCGGAATCGTCGAGGGTCCGTCTCTGCTCCTGCTTGGCTGCCTCCAGGCCTTTCATCTGATAGGACCTTCGTTTCACGAACTCCTCCTCACTCCGCTGCTGATAGTGATGCAGCTCGATCTCGGTGGGGAGCCACCAGCGCATCAACGCGCAGCGCCTCCTGTAGTCTTGGTGAGAATATGTGAGAACTGGAGCGTCTCGGACACTCATTCAACCCTTCGAGAATCTGAATTTCAATGGACCAAGATGGACCAAGCTAAGCTAGGGATCTGGTTGTCAAAGGTTGATCCTTTCTCAGCTTCTAAATGGTCTTCTCATCCGAATACAAAGAATCTGTCCAAGATTGAGGGGTCCAAGGGGTGCAAAGTGGATTCAAACATGTCATGTCAGGTTGTCCCCAAAATATACACTTCTTGAATATTCATGGAACTGGAATGTAGCCGCCTGCAAGACAATTATCCTCGACAAGCAGGTGGTGTTCCACTATTCATAAGATTTTATAAGACTTATTGACTTGGAGTGTAGTCGTACATAGTCCATAACATTGTAGAGGGGAAGTTCTTTTCTGGCTATTTGGGGGAGTCACTTCTGAAGGCTCCGATGATTTTGGGAGTGTCCTTCAAACACGAGCAGGGACTTGCAATAGAAGGTCCTTTGGCCATACACACAAGAGAAGGAATAGAAACTCACAGGCCCTTCCCAAACGCAACCAAATGGCCTAATATGGATGAATCATATACCTCCCTTTCCCTGGAGAATACAGGTTAACCATTTCCATCTGCTCTATCGATCCAACCACGTCTTGTGGTTTTGCCGCAAACTCTCTGGTTCAACGGTAGGAGCTGAATGCACAAACAAAGTTCAAACAAATTTACGCCAAGCATACCTGAGGGTCGAAAGCCCAAGATTCTATCCCTTGATCTCTACCATCAAGGAACAAGTTAGCGAAAGCTTCAAGGTCATGGGAAGCAAGTGGTGTGGGCGTGCCTGTCCTTTTCGTCGCCTTTCGGCAGGGCACGCCCCACACTTGTGCCCATGTATAGTCATGAACGCACAGAATCAAGAAGCTTTTGCGGCAAGCCTGCAGATTCTCCATCTGTTCATATTTAATGGCGAGCCCAATCCCCCCCCAAAAAGGTGTTAAAGGTCATCCACTAACGAGTATGCCGATACATGGATCCATATGGATCCTAACCGCCCGAACCCAACGTTGATTGCATTCCTGTAGTTTCAGCATTGGTTGCAGATGTTTTGTGTCTTCACGGACTTCCCCATTCAATTTAGCCTAGCTATGAAGAAAAATACCTCGCGCATGTGGGAGTCCCATCTGTCTCCTGCTTTCGCTGAAACATGAGCTCAAGTATTCCAGTGGGCTGCTGGGAGCATTGGAGAGCACCGCCATCACTTGCAGCAGCAGTAGGGGCAACGTGCCGAAGCCTAGCCATAGATAACGCTTGCAGCTTGGCGCAGAACCGGAGATCATCATCAGCCCAAACCCGACCACGGCATCTGCGGCTGCGAACCGGGACGCCAATGTTCGCAACAGACAGCGGCGAGGAGGTCGGGCTTGAAATTAGGCCGATGAGTGCTGCCGCATGCTGCCACGATGTTTGCGCAATGGGTTGATTTGTTGTGACAACTGTTTGTGGGTGTCCAAACATACACTCAACATGTCAGTGATATGCGGAAGTCGTGTCAGAAATGACATGTCTCAAGCATTCTCAAGCAACTCCAAATGGTCTGCTGGGGTTTTCGGACCATAGGACTGATTGGCTTGCGAAAAAAATAAAACTAATTAAACAAAAACACGATTCACAACTTTTTGTTGGTCTATCTTCAATGAAACTTTGTCTCTTCTCCTAAACCTGGTCGATGCAGGAGGAGAGCAATGATCTGACCAAACCCATAGGGCCTATATGATTCGTAGCGGTCCAGGTATGCCTTCTTTCCGGCTGTTTGCCCGGAAGCTGAACGTATGCCCCTTAAGTCGAGGTTTGTTTCCGGAGAATTGTCGGGGATATCCTGGGTCTAAAGAGCCTCTGGGAAAAGGTACGAAAGGGATGAAACTACAATCGCCATCTGACTCCACATGGTCCTCCTGGTCACCACTAATCTGAGGAACATTCTTCTTTTGGAGTCCAGGTTGAGTCGAACTTGCGGTGACATAAATATCCAACTGCCAACGGTCATACCAACAGCAGTCATACCAAGAACAGTCGTTTAGGAGTTGCTTCACAAAAATCTCTCAGCCCAAAGAAACAACTCCTATTCAAAAGAAGTGGACGTTAGGGCAAATCCAAATATATTCAATTGATCTGATCGGCACTTGGAAGATGGTAATCAACAACCCTTTCCTTCCAAATCTGGATCTGTTCCCACCCAAACCATACAGCGGGGGTAAACCATGCTTCGTCTCTGGCGTTGCTTGAAGGAACTGCCCACTAGTAGACAGCAGGTGACGTGGTTTGGGGCGCTGGATTGCGGCGCTGGAAGAGCTATACATCCAATTCCCACTGACTAGGCTACTGAATGGCTGGCTGGCCGGGAACATGGAAAAAATGGAAGGGATGTTCATCCATTTTCAACTTGGGGCAGGGGCACAAAGAAACTGAGTGACTCCATGTGCATGTCAACAGGAAGAGCCCTCGGTTTGTGGACAGCCTCCTGATCACACGTCCGCTACTAAAGCACTGCAGCACTGCGTGGTATCGTCGTACTTATCTTGTAGCCAGAGTCTTGGTCTCCATCCCCAAACAAAGCGCTCTTGGTTGGACGCGTTTTTTTTCTTTTTCGGTCTCGTTGACGTTCGGATGACGCTGGGACCGTCGTCCTCGCAATCAAGGGTCGTCTCCTCTGCAGAGGCGAATGGGGTGGGTCAAGACAGAGGTGGTGGGGGGAGACCAGAACCTGCACTGAGAGGTACGTGGATGGAAAATGGCCCGGTTTTGGGGGACGACCATGGCCTTTCCGAAGACCTGTTTCAGGTGGCAAACTCTACGGAACCAGGATGATTTCAGGGAGTGTATCAAACGTTCTATCGCGGTCTTCTTGCCGTAAGCTCCCCTTGCCTTGCAAAGTTTCAGAACATGCAAGGCTTCGGTGGGAATACACGGGGTTGCTACGTATAATCATACTCTATGCCGCAAATCCAGTGAGAAAAACACCAGTGATTGAGAAAAAAACAAACTCGTGTGCAGTGTGCAGGATGTCAGTCTTCAACAGCCCTGTTTTCGGTTCAAAAATACACAGCAAATATCAAAAAAATCTAACACAAACCCGCGATTTGCCCACCAATCGTCAGCACCATGTCGTTGAGGTGCCCTTTGAATGGGCTTTCATCTGTTTTCATCAACCAAACTCAATCATATCATCATATCTTCCATTCAGCACCTGAGAAGGATTGACCCACCAACTCCTCGCGCAAAATTCACTCCTTGTGCGGATGGGTCACTGCTGGGCAGCCACCCATACATTGTTGCTGACAGGACTCCCAGCAAGCGAGACCAGCCGAACACTCCTCTGGAAAGAGACCAGGCTGTCTCTGATCAGAACAGATATGTCTCCAGACTCAAAAGGCCCAAAAACATCTCTCCCGCCCTGTGTGATATGTAGCCTGTTAATGATTGTTGATTACAATACATCAATTCCCCATGTGGAGCTGTGAAGCCTTTTTGGTAGAAGAGCTTTATTCATCAACAATCTACGCTAAGAAGTGCCGAACTTACGCCAATCTTGGCCTCCCAGACTCAGACCCGAGTCCGGCTGTTGCTCCACTGCACGAATTCGGTGGGTTACAGGCATTTGGTCCGTGTCCTTGGCATCGGCATCATATGGACGTGCTATCAGACCGTTTGGGACACGTCACCGACCCGGCGTGGCGCTCCGACCCTTTCGAGGGGTGCACCGGTGGTGCCCAACGATCGAGCGCACGGGTGGAAACCCGTTCGGGGGCGTTTGCCCGGATTGAAATACACAGCCATATCCCAGACACGACGATCTTGGGACTGCCATCGCCTATACACTGCATGGGTTTGGGGGGTCAATGTAGGCATATATGGCAGTCCCATGGAGTGTCTGGGATATGAGATCTATTCTGCCTGCTTGCAGAACCCTGCAAATTGCCCTAAGCCAACTCCAACTAGGACCCCCCTGTTGGCGTTGATGCCACTTGCTCAATCTCCAACACTAAGGAGAATGGCGTTGATGCCACTTGCTCAATCTCCAACACTAAGGAGAAGGGCACACACAGAGTTTCTCCTTCGCAATTGTGTGACATTGGCATTGATATCCAAAACTTGACATTGATCATGTGACACATGTGTGTTTTCCCTTTGATCCGGCACTGGTACACCACCCATCGAACGAAAAACGAGGCGGACCCCGTCTACCTGTTGAGTGTGGCTCCTGACAGGGCCTGCTCCACAAGATCTTCTCCCGTTCGATGATGGAGAAGGTCGGGGCTAGAGGCCATAGGAGCCAAACGGCCAAGTACTGCAGCCACTCCACTCCCCAGCGCAACCCTGTGCAGCCACAAGAGGATTTGCCTCGGAAGGGTCTGTTGTCCAGGTTTTGTTGCGGTTCAAACAGGGCGCTTGCTTTCACACACATAACCATTCAAAAACCAAAGAAGAACAAGGACGTTCGAAGATCCGGGAGTTGTTTGACTGGCAAAACCCGGTCAGTTGGGTCACATGTTGGGTCGGTAACCGATCCCTCAAGTCATCAAGTCATGTGGTCACCGATTCTCCCTATCTTCAATGCACGGCTACATGGAGAGTGTGAGTGGAAAGGGGGTCAGTTGGTCCCCTGAAACTCACTACCCTGGAAGGAGGGGCCTCTGATTCAAGAACATGTTTGCAGTCATGGCACTGTACCACTACATATTTACAGTACCACTGTACCACTACACTCCAATGGTCTCAACGCGTCTCAACCCTTTGCTCCATATCTCTCCCACAACATACTGCGCTGTTCAATGCTTAATGTTTCAACTGTAAGAACTGCGATGAAGTCATTTACACTTCACCTTACCCAGCCACATGTCGCCGGGACGGAGTGTATGCCTAAATAGTTGGCCGACAAAGAAACCAAGCCGCAGGAGTCTAAACACCACAGGCACTGCAAGTTCCGCAAGGGATCTGCAGGTCGCTGGGAATCCAGATCGCCTGAAGAGCGCGCCAGGCGAGGCGTTGAGGCTGGGCGCGGCCACATGTTTCCTCTGCCTGGTGGTGGCTAGTAGCCACATGTTCGACCGAGGAACAGCCAGATTTCGGTATGTCTTTTGGTTTATGGAACGATGTGAGATGTGCCATACTCAACTGATAGACTCTTTTCGTTGGCAAGACCAAAGGTTGTGGAGCCCGGTGGTCATAATGTGCCTTTCAAGGTTCCCACTAAAGTAGAGAGACACTCCAGCAATTGGATAGGAAAAGTATTCCAACAACTGATGTTTAGGTACAGGAGCAAGAGAATCCCTAAATATATGGAATTAGCTTTCCACTACTGGTTCTACATGCTTGAAGAGATGTTGCAAGCGGTTTTCGAGCATTGCCTTCTCCTCAAATGAGGCAGGCCACTGTTACTGTATAGCCAGGAAGCTCTTCTTGATACAAACAAATATTGACAAACAAATGTATTCATTGAACCTCTAGAGTCTAGAATGTACGCAAGGATACCGATAGCTGCCCAAGAAAGCATGAGACGCCCCCTGGTATTTGCCTATCATCTCTCAACCTGTCAACAATCTGTTGGTTAGGCCTGCAAACAGCAGCAATCAAGCAACAACGGCAAAGAAAGCCCTTCGGGAATCTTACAGTAATATATTTCCATGAATCAAACATTCATTAAGCTAGTTACCCATTCATTCAAGAATTATATAGGGTAATTTTGTTTATATGTCCCCAACAGCAACACACCTGTCAAACGAGCAGATCTCGAAGAAAATGGTCTAAATCTCCTTCGGAACAGGATTGACCCACAACGAAAACGAAAAAACTCCAAGCTGAGAAGCTGTTTTCGGCTTTGTTTCGGGTCTGAGTATACTGTCCGAGGGAAACCTACCGCATCCCAGACCGTGTTAACACACCTCCACTTCCCTTTCCAAACCCAGCCATGGGACTGGAATAGTTACCTACATTGAGGGTCATGTTCATGGGGTAAATGATGGTAAATGTATGTGAATGTATATGTCAAGAAGCTACTAGTAACAAAGGGCATCGCTACGAACGGAGCAAGGACGCTACCAGTGGCTCCTGGCCTTACTACTAGTAACAGGAAGCTACTATAAAACATAACATAACATAACTATTCCAGTCCCATGGATGGTCTGGGCCTCCGTTCATGGACATGGGCCAACCCTGTGACCACCCAACCCAGTCTTATTCGACTCACCCGGCTCCAACTCCCGCCGTGGCCAAGACAGCGCTAACCAGGTCACCATAGGGCGAAAGCATCTGTTGAACTTCCGGACTTCGCTGGACGGCTTGGTCGGTCATGAGAGCGAAATCCTCCCAGCAAAGGTCTTGAACTTGATAGAGCTCATCCAGGTCCTATGGACGGAGTGCCAAGTACATCTGACATCTGTGACAGGGTTAGGATGTACTAGCATGTGGTACACACACACACA